AATCACATATATTAATAATTAATGAAATAAGATTTAAAAAAAAAAAAAAAAAAAAAAATGATTAAAAATCACAAATTACAACTATCTCTAAATAAGGAAATAAATTATATAATGAATAAGTTTATTGAATATGAATTTATTAAGAAGCATGGGAAGAAAGTATTAAGTAAAAAATTTTAAAAAAATGTATAATAATATTTATTTATTTTTATATTCTGTTTTATATTATAGTTTTTCTATTATAAAATTTTAAATATATATTTTTTAAACTAATTTGCTTTGAAGACATTGAATTATTTTTTTTAAAATTATAAATTTAATAATGTGTATATTTATTAGAATTGTTTCTCTCAATAGATCTATTAAAATAGCACTTGTTCTACTTAATCACTTTTAGTATTATAAATTTCTGTATTATTTAGTTTAGGTATTTAATAAATTATTAAATAGAAAGTTTACATAAAATTATATAATCTCTATATTTTTCATCTTGTAAATTAAACATGAAAATAAATAAAAAAAAAAATATATATGAGTTGGAATAATATTATTCTATATTAGAAAAATAGTTATAGAATTTCACAAAAAAAAAAAAAAAAGAAATAAAAATAAAAACTCTTCAATTTTTAAAAAATCGCGTTAAAAAAAAATTTTTTTGTTAAACATTTATGCATACAATTATATATATTTTTAGTAATAAAAATGCTTAAAGAATTTTTTTGTTAAAAAAAAACTATTGTGTATCTAAGTAATATATCCCAAAGGCTACTATGATAATAGAAAGAAGCAAAATTTTGGTAAAAATAATTGAAATTAGAAATGATGAAAAAAAAAAAATTTTATATATTACAACTTTATTTATATAAATTAAAATAAGATAGAAGAAAATTATTTTAGATAAAATTTATTGTCTAAATAAATACAAAAAGACGAAATAAATAAATAAATATATATATATATATATATTTTAATTCATATAAAGGTCGTTATAAAATAATTTTAAATAATAAATGAAACTTGAGTAATTGTGGTTTAATTTCAGAGGAGACTAAGAGATACAAAAATTGATCGTTAAATTATAAAAAAAAAAAAAAAGAAAGAAATATTTTATGATAATTAATAATTATAGAAAATTCAAGAGTCTTGTATTATATATAGATAAAAATATTCATTCAAAATTATCAATAAATATACTAATATGAACAATTTTTAAAATTATTATTCAATTTTATTCTATCCTGCAATAACAATTTTTATTTTTTTTCTTAAAATATTTGTTGATAATATATTTTTAAAATATGAAGAGTTAAAATTAAAAATATATATATATATATATATTTTTTCTTTAAATTCAGATACATTTTTACAATTTAAAAATTATTACATAGAATTGAAATATGAAAAATGTGTAAAATTAAATAATACATATATAGGTTTAAAAAAATTAAAAAGAAAAAACACAAAAAAATGTTTATATAATTTAAGTCATCTATGCCAACCATTTTTAGTATTTTTATCAAGCTTAGATAAGAATGAGTATTTAAATAATTTTGATTACATAAAATTATTGTATAACATTTATTATAGTAAATGTTTAAAATTTTATAAATTTATTCAAAATTGAAAATTAAATATATTGGAGAAATATAAACTAAAATTATGTTTAATTGAAAGTTTTTATTTTTTTCCATATAAGAAGACAACATATGCAATTGCACTAGTCAATCTTGATAATTATTCTATAAATGATGTTATAACGAAATTCTATATGAAGTATATATTTAACTTTTTTATAAGATTTAATCTATTATTATCTCATTATAACATATATTTTCTACATATATTTAATACTCATTTTATTTTATGATTTAATCATTTATCATTTAAAAATTCCCTTTTTTTTATTTTTAATATTTCTTTATTTTGTACTTTATAAGGAGAGGAGAATATATAACTTCTGGAAATGAAAAAAAAAATTAGGAAAGGATATTTCAAATAAGTAAGTAAAATACAAATTGAATAGAATTAAAACATATAAAAATAATCATAAAAAAAAAAAAAAAAAAATAATAATAAAGAAAAATGTAATTTTATAGAAGAGAATTTATTCTTTAGTGTTTCAATTAATATATATAAATTACTAAATATTAACGAAAATGATGATTTTGTATTGTTTTATGATTTTTCTTTTAGATTTTTAGAATATGCAGAAACATATAAAAGAATCTTAAACGACATTTCACTTTTAAATGAACGTAGAGAAAAATAGGATCATCAAAATAAAAATAATTTATCTAATATAAATTTAAAGAATAAAAATAAAGTATACTACCCATTAACAAATAAGTTGAATAATTTGAATGCAAAAAAAAATATATTTTCTAAAAAAAAAAAAAAACAAAAATTAAATAAAAGGAAAAACTCATTAAATAGTAAAAACACAATGGAAATACACAAGCATATTGTAAAATTAAAAAATATATATAATAAATTTAAACCAAAGAAAAGTTAGGATTTAGTTTAATAAAGAATTATTATTATGATTTAAAAAAAAAAAAAAAGATAAATACCTTTTTAAATAAAAATAAACATGTTAAATGTATTGATTTTTTACTAGACGGTGAAAATGAATCTATTGAAAATCAAAATTTATATAAAGTTAGAAATTATCTTGAATATATTAGGAAAAAAAAAAATTATAAAAATTTCAGATAAATTTCCTCATATATTTGTATTTACTCTAATAGAAAATATAAAATTAAAATTATCAAAAATTTCTTAAAAAAAAAAAAAAAATTCATTCTACAATAGAAAAATATACAGAAAATATATATTTAAATAATTTAAATAATTTAAATAAATATACTCATGAAAATATTAGTGTAAATGAAGAAGCTAGAAGTAGAGAATCAATAGAATATTCTCCTATAACAGAAATCAATAAAAATAAAGAAATAAAAATTTTATTTAAAAAAAAAAAAAGGTAAATAAAGCATGGATTATTTTAAAAAAAAAAATAATTTTATTAATTGAAAAAAAATGATATAATAAAAAAAGGAGAAACTATAATTAAAATAATAAGATTTGAAATAGATATATATATATATATATATTGTACAAGAGGAATAATAAAGAATTTAGATGATAAGTTTATTATACTTGAAAATGTAAGAATAAATTAAAATGATAAATTAACTTATTCTTTTATTAATATTTATGATAGATATAATGGTTTAGAATGTGTTAAATATATTAAAAAAAAGATAGTAAAAAATTTTCAAAAATAAGTTTTTTATTTATGTGGAGATATAATTTTATCAAAGAATATATATAATGATATTAAATTATCAATATTTAAAGATTTTAAAAAAACAGATGATGATTTTTTATATAATTTAAATGGAGACAATAAAAATTTTCGTTCCACTGTAATTATATTGTTAATATTATATCAATTTTGTTACATTATAAATTGTGTTGACTCTAAAGGTTTACTAACAAAAAAAGATGAAAATTTTTAATTAACTAATTCTCATAAGACAAATATGGATGCTGAATATAAACGAATTTTCTTATATGAATCTTATGTACGTAAAAATAAAATAGAAGGAAAATTATCAGTTATCAGATCATTTGGTAATTATAAATATAAAATATATAAAAAAAATTTTTTTTAAAAAAGTTTTAGAACTCTTATTTCGATAGTAATATGTTAACTTTTATTAAATTTAGTTTAAATAATTATAAAGACATTGGAATATCAAACTTTTTTTTTTTTAACTAGATATAATTCTATGCTTTTTCATATATATAAAAGTGATTACTATAAATCTCGTTTAACTAAGCATAACAAGAAGAAAAATTCTTTATATAAAGCTCATCCAAATAATAATTCATGTAATAAAAAGGAGTAACATTGTTATTTAATAGATATAATCATCTATAAAAAACTTAATTAAGATACCAAGAAAGGAAGAAAAAAAAAAATTTATTAAAAATAATATCATCAATAATTCATCAAACAAATTAAACGTAAAATACAAACAAAACTCATATATATTTTATAAGAGTAAAAAACACAATGTATCAAAAAATAAAAGAATTTTCAATAAATAATGTAAATAATTTTAATAAATATTCCTTTTTTTTTTTTTTTTCTAAGAAAAAATAAAAATGATTTAGAAGAAAATTCACATTTTAATTACAAAAAAGAAGTCTCTTGTAATGAAAATATCAAAATATTTAAATGTTTGTGTGTTTCAAAAAAAGCTTACGAGAAACTACATTTACTTCTTTTATAAAAAAAATTTGCTTTAAAACTTTACAAAGTAAATATCAAAATATAAAAGAAACTTTTTTAAATATAAAAAAATGTTGCATTATTAAATCAAATGGAAAATATTAATTCCTCTAAATTAAATTCAATGATTAATCATTTTATTGAATTATGATTTTTATAAAAAAAACAATTAGTTATCATCTGTCTTCCTGATATAATAAAATTAAAATTAACTAAAAATTATGATTTCTTAGTTTTATCTAGTGACGTATTATGTGATGTCCTAAATATATAAGAAATTATAAGATATATTAAATCATCACAAAAGATAAATGTTAATTTACAAAGGGTTGTTAAAAACATGATAAAATATGCTATTAGGGTAAAAAAAAAAAAAAAAAAAAAAGTAAAGATAACATAACAACCATATTAATTTAAAATATTAAAATCGTTCCATTTGATTATCAAAAAAAAAAAATGAAAAAAGTTAACAGAGAAATATTTAGTATAAAATATAAAAAAAAAAATTTAAATTTATAAATAATATTAATTAATATATATGTATTATACATATATAAAAAAAAAATTCATAAAAAATTCCTAAGTATTCTCCTTTTTTATACTACTGAAATATTTCCACTTTTTCTTTATTAATTCAAAACAGTTCAATTAAACATAACCTAAAATTCTATTAAAAATTAAGTTTTGCGGGAGTTATAAGACATATAAAAAGATAAATATACTATTGGGAAATTGTGTTGATAAAATCCTAAATTTAAAAGATCTAAATTCATGTTAATATTTCTCTAGTCTTCTTCCTTTTAATTCCTTATAGTTTGATAATATTTTTCACTTTAATTTTTAAAATTTTCATTTTCTTCATTTATTAAAATTCTCAAATTTTTATCAATTTTTATTTATTTTTTTTATTTTTTTTTTTTTCTAATTTTTTTTTTTCTATTTTTTTTTTATATTTTATTTTATATTTTTTTTTTAATTTTACACGTTCTCAATTTTGTATATTAAATTAGATGGGATAACTCCTTTGTTTCTATTAATGAAAATTTTCCATTTTGATATGGTTAGAAAATATTTAGTAATAAACTTTTCAACAAGGTTACAATAAGATGGGAGTTTATTTTTATATAAATCATCTTTGATGAGTTCTACAGAATTTTCTATTTGTTTATGCAAATTAATTTTATTCATAAATAATTTCTGCAAATTATTCACAATGTTCTTTTCAAGTTCAATTAATTCTGTATGAGTTGATTGACCACTATCTCTGGAATAATTTTTAATATTTATGAGTTCTAATATTTCTTTTCGTTTTTTATCGTACTTTAATTTTAACATTTTTCTATTTTCTTTAATTAATTTTATAATAGAATCTACTGACCTATATACTACTGAAAATAGATCTAACATTTCATCTTGAGTTTTTAAAGAATCAAATTTCTTTATTATATCATTATATAAATTAGTAAAATAAGAAGAAGCTAAAACATTTTTATTAATACTATCATTAACTATGAATGATTTTGTTAAACCAAAATCAGGGGGAAATATAATATTTTTATTTTCTTTATAGGCCTTAATAAGTCTATCCTCATGCTTATATTGTTTATAATTATCTTTAACATATCTTCTCCATAAATTTCTTATTTTCCTAAATTCTTCTATCAAATTGTCATTATTAATTATGTTACTAATTAAGTAAAGTATATTATCTATCTCAGAATTTAATTGACCTGATGCTACCTCAAATGAATTAACAGTTGTTTTTATACGTAAAAATTTTTCACGAAATACATTACCATTAGTTTCTAAATCATTTCTTATCATTTGTAAATTTTCCGGACTATGTACTAATTTAACAAATTGAGATTTATGTAATTCTAAACTCGATTGCATATTTTGTAAACTAATTAACATTTTATCTAAATTATACAAAGAATTCTTATCTAAATGATTATTTTTATCTTTATAAATTCTTATCAATTTTTGTAAAATGAAAATGATATGAGAAAGTCTATTACAACCAGTTAATAAATCTTTTGCATGGAAGTTTTCTATATCATTCCATGCAAGATTATATATGTTGGTAGTAGAATTATGTTTTTCTGTGTATAAAAATTTATTTAATTCATCATATAAATTTTCAAATAATTTTACTAAACGATTATTAGCATCAATGAAAGAATCTCTTAGTTTTTCTACAAGTTTTACACTAATACTTAGAACTTCTGGAATATCTTTTCTTTGACAGTATGAATATGGATTTTGATTTTCCAACCAATATGTATATTTTCCTAATAATAATAATAATTTCTCAAAAAATGTGTAAGTATTTTTTACATCAGAATTTTCAGTAAATTCTACTCCTTTCATATATTCCTCATATTCACTCTTAATTTCTTCAACAGTTAAAATAGTATCTTTATAATATGAAAAATTGGACAATTTTCCTTGCTTCTTATCAATTCCAACTTCATTTGATAATCTATCTATTTCTTCCAATAGAAAACTTATTTTTCTTTTAAGTTGAAACCTTAATGAAGTAACTTTATTTTCCAAATTGTAAATGGACATATATATTATGTTTTCTAACTGATCTAATATGCTTGCATCATTAATACCATTTTTTGTATTCTTATAATTAATAAGGTCCCTTCTTATATCTCTCTGTAGTTGAACTACCTCATAACCTAACCCATATAATACATTTACTTTATTTTGTAATTGGGTTACTATATTTTTCAAAGAATTTAATCTTGAAACATTTTTTTCTCTATTATCATTGTAATACAATGTATTTTCTTCATTATATATATTCGACGTTTCGCTAATCTCTTTAGAAATAGAAAAAAAAGTTGTTTTTAAATGTGTAATATCTGCTTGCTCTTCATAATATCTCTTCCATAAACCATTATGTACTTCTTTTATATCAAATGTGTTATAAAAAAAGTGATTCATAAAGTCTCTAATAATACGTTCTTCATCTACAATAAATCTATCTAAAAATCTATGTAATTCAGTTCTATTAACATTGCTTCTGTATATTAAATTAGGATAATCTTTTAATATATTTCTTTCAATGTGATCAATTAAATCATATTTATTATATACTTTATTATTTAATTGATGTTTTAAATGTTCTGATATTATATAACTTTGAATGTAAGAACGTATATTGTTATCACGTAATATCTTTAAAAATTCTACATTGATTTTAAATATTTTTAAAAGATCCCAATATAAATTTTCAGTTAGGCTATATGTTAAAACAACACTATTGCTTAATAAAGCACACAAAAAAAGGAAAAATTGAAACGCAATTAAATGTAGCTTTCTCATTAATAATAATTAAAATAAAAAAAAAAAAAAAATATAAATAAATATGTATATATATATATATAGGAATAATCTTTAAAAATTTATCCTTTCCAAAAACAAAAGAAGACTAATTTATAAAAAGAAATTTTTATAACTATTTTCCTACAAAACTATTTTTATTTTTAATGTATTTTATATCTTCATACAACACTTCCTCTATATTTAAAAAGTAAAATAGTTCATTAATTATTTTTTTAATATTTTTTACAATTAGTATTAATTATTTTTTTAATATTTTTACAATTATTATGTCTTGTAACAAAAAAAAAAAAAATAAAAAAATAAAAAAAAATAAAATCTATAAATTCTAAAAAAATAAATACTAAATATTCTGTAAAAAATAAAAACTATAAAAAAATATTTTAAGTATTCCTGTTATATTTTTTCAAAAATTTAAATATTTACAAAAAATAAATATAAAAAGGCTAATTTTTAAAAGTATAATTACATAAAAAATTCTATTTATTTTTTATTGTCATTTTATTTTTTATGTTGTAGAAAATGCAGTTAAAAAAAAATAAAATTAACTTAAAAGTGGAGAGATAAAGATAGAAAAAATACTATATGTTTTATTAAAATAATGTATAATAATATAAAAAAGATAACATAAAAAATAAAAAAAATATTAATTTTTTTCTATTTTTGTATTGTTAAAATATTGAATATATTAAAAATTAATATATAAATATCTAAAAAAAAAAAAAAAAAAAATATTTAAATTTCTGAAATGAAATCCTATAATAATAGTATTATAAATTTTAAAAAGATAACTTTTTAAAAAAAACCATTATTAAACCTCTTTTTAATTATAAAAAAAAAAAAGATTTACAAAAATACAATCATAAAATATTTTAAAGTACTTTTAGTTCATATAAATTTTAGATATCTTTTTCAATTTATTTTATTTAATAAACGCATGCATATTTATAAATATTTTTGCATGCATTATTATTATGAAAACCGTTTTATATTAATATTTTAGAATTATATTTTTATTACATCTTATGTAAAAAAAAAAAAAAAAAAAAAAAAAAAAATTTAAGTAAAAACTAGCATGCGAATGAAAAAAAAAAAAAAAAAGGCTTATAAAAAATTGCTAAAGATTTTTTTTTTTTTTTTTTTTTACGTTTTAAAATAATATTACATATAGTTTCAATATATCATTTTTCCAATAACAGGTGAAAATAAATAAATTTTAAGGTTTATTTTCTTTTCTTGTTAATATTAATAAAAGTATATTATTTTCTATACTTTTAAGTATATTTAAATTTTGCTTTTTTTGAACATTAAATCTATTAAATTTTAAAATTTTTTTTTTGTTTTTTTTAATTTATTTCTAATTTTGTATATCGTTATTAAAGATGTACAAAAATAAAGTTTTGTTCGTATTTTTATTTAGTTTTTTTTATTTTTTTGTGTTATTTTATGTTAATGGAAAAGGTGAAAACAAAAATATTTTAAGTTCTATGAAAAATGAAAATAACAAGAATACAAATCTTGATCATATATCTAATTTAATAGATATGGATAAGATAAAACAGCTAATAGCTGAAAATAAGATAGAAGAGGCAAATAACTTACTTAAAGAAATGCAACAAGCATTGAAAAAAGAAGAAACAGATGAACATAAAGATAATAATGAAATTGATAAATATGAAGAAGTAAATAATAAAATGTTTGATAACTTAATCAGTGCAAGTGATCTTCATGAAATGATGAAATTTTATATGTATTTACAAAACTTATTAAATTCAAAAAGTGAATCATCAGAAAAAAAAATGGTTAAAACTTTTTTAAGAAAAACTATTCAAAAAATGAAAGATAATGAAAATAATAAAGAAAAAAAATCTATAGATGATATAATAAAAGATACAGAAGGACATAAAGAAATGTTAGAGAAATTAGCTGATGTAATGAAGATAGACAGAGAAAAGCTAAAAGATGAAGAAGTTAAAAATAAATTAAATCAAATTTTAATTGGGATGCTTAAATTTATTGAATACACAAATAATAATGAGTTAGTTAATGCATTAATGGATGAAATTGAAATAAAAGAAGTAAAAGCAGAAGATGGTGCATCAAAACCCAAAATACAGGTTAATATTAATAATAGTAAGACACATTTAGAAATGTTACAAAAAGCTTCAAATTTCATGGGATTAGAAATTAATCAAGAAGATTTACAAAAATTAACTTCTAATAATAAATGGTATGAAAATTTCCTAAATAACATTTTGAATAGCTCAGATGAACTCTAAAAAATCAAAAAATGGAACATAAAAATATTAATAATTAATTAGTATTTTTTATTTTTTTTTTTTTTTTTTATCTCTCTCTTCTTAAAATAAATTAGTATATAATAATATATATGTACTTATAGGCATATATATGTTTTATAATTTTTTGATATAATTGTTATATATATTATTCAATTATTTATTTTATATATATATATTTAAAATTCTTCAATCAATAAAATATTAAAATAAATTTTTTAATGTATTAAATAAGAAATTAATTTTTTTTTTTTTATGTAAATTAAAAGTATATAATGTATTATTTAAATATTAATATATTTTTTTCTTTTTTTTTTTTTGATAAAAAATAAAGAAAAAAATATAATAGAATAATATGATGTGTATATATTTGTCATTGCTTTATTTTTACATTTTATTATTATTATTTTAATTTACATAAAATTTTTTTTTTAATTATTTGAAACAGTGTAAAAAGAAAATAAAATGAAAATAGAAGTATCAATTTATTTGAATATCAATGTTTAATAAACTTATTAAATTTGTGAAAAAAATTTTGGTTATTTATTTTTTATTAAAAAAAAAAAAAAGATACTAATATTAATTATAAAAAGAAATATCTAAAAATAAAAAAAATTAAGAAAATTATAAGAAAATTTTATAATTAAAATTTTCATTTTATTAAAGAAAATTATTTATTTTGTATAAAAAAAAAAAAATTATGTTTGTGTTACAAATTAAAATTTAATAAAAAATTAATTTTATTTATATTTCAAAATTGATAAAAATATTTTTAAATTGATTTAATATAAACTATACTTAAAAAACTTCTTCTGTTAAGATAAAAATTCTTATATAAAAAACAAAATCTTTTTGTGTAGAAAAAAAAAAAAAAAAAAAAAATAATAATATAAAATTGTAATAAATAAATAAGCTTACATATAAATCATCTAAAACATAAATAAATAAAAAGATGCTAGTTCTAATTAAATGAAAAAAAATAGTAATCAGAAAATAGAAACATTTTCTTTTAAAGATTACAAGATATCTTTTCTAAAGATATTTCGTAATAATTTTTTTTACTTCTAATAATTATCAAAATATTATTATAAATTTGTTAATTTTTCTTTTTCATTAGTATTTAATATATCAGTTATACTTAAGACTTTATTAAAATTTTTTTTTTTTTTTTTTTTTTTTTTTTTTAATATTTGAAACACTTTATAAATTATTTCCTTTTTTTACTTTTGTTTATTTTCTAAGAATATTATTTTAATAATCATATATCAAAATGTTATTAATAATTTCCATACCTTACTAATTTGAATTTATAAAAAGTAATGTGACAACAATGGAGGAAGATAAAATTAAAAATATTTATTTAAGTTTAAAGAACAAAAACAAAAAGGAATGGGTTGAAATGATGGAACAATTAACAAAAGATCAAAAGCGAAAATTAATTTTTTTTATAAAAAAGAAGAATAAAAATTCTTGTAAGTCAAAAATAAATATTTCCAAAAATTTCAGCATTAAATATCATCATATAAAATTATTATTTGTAAAAAGAAAATTTTATGACTTAAATATTTATCATTTATTTATATTAATTCAAATATTGTTAGTATATTTTTAGTTAATATAAGTATTTTTTTTTATTTTGATAGTTATTTCTCATATTTTTTTTTTTTTTTCTTCTTTTTTAGTGCATAAAATAAAGAATATTAAAATTGAGAAAAATAATAAAAAGATTAAGACTAAAACTATTAACAGTTACATCTTGGTTGATTATTCAAATGTTAGTATTTAAGTAATTATTAATATTTTCTATTGTTAAAATTAATAATTTCTTTTATATATATTTAAAATTCTTTAGAATTATATCAATTTTTAATAGTCTTTTTATAATTTTATAAAACTAAAAAATTTTTTCTTTTTTTTTTTTTTATTTAGATTAACTATGATTTAAACTTAAAAAATTACATAGGTAGAATTTTACGTATATATAAATTGGAAGATAACTATGATTTTATAAAAGCGTTACATTTATATATGAACATATTAAGCTACATTATATTTAAAAAATTTTCCCATGAATATAAAAATGATGAAAAAAATAAAAACCTTTTAATATTTTTAAAGAAGCTATTTCCATTTGAGTTTCAAAAATTTGAAGAAAAATATAATATGAGATGGAGTAAAGATTTTACTACTTGTGAGAACTTAAATAATGAAAAAATGTGTATTGGGAATATAAAAATTAAAAAAGAAATAGACTCACTAGATGATGAAAAAAGTAGAAATGACTACGAAAAGGAATGTAAAAAAAATAATTTTAATCAGCTTAACAATTATAATCATTTAAATGAACAAAATTTAGATCAATGTAATATTTATAGTAACGAGAAACAAACAAATATAATAAATTCAAATTTAAGTAATTCAGATAGTATAGAAAATCCAGATAACAAATTAAATAATGTGAACTCTTTAGAATATCAGAAGGAATTTTTATCAAAAACTAAAAATGTGAACACTATTAATAAAGATAATTTTAACATATTAATAAAAACTGAAAAAGATGATTATACACATAATGAAATTAATAATGATAATATTTTAAATGATTTAAATAGATATGTAAAAAAAGAACATAATCAAGAAATTTTTAAAAATAAAGATATTAAAAAAATTATGTTAAATGTGTTTGACGAACAAAGATTTGAATATCGTGTTCGTTTTAGAAGTATAATATCACAAAATTTAAATCAGTCGGAATATAAGAAATTCTGTGATCAAAGAGAAAAACTATTTAAATACAAAAAAAAGAATTTTATAAAATGGATTGCCAAATTTACCAATATAAACTCACTAGATTTATACTTAGTTAATTTTTTTATATTTTTATTTTTAGATAGATTATATTTAATAATAGAGACATATATTCGATTAAATTATTGCAAATTCATAGATTCTTATGAAGCTTTTTTAGATCATTTAGATGAATTTCATAATTTCGATTACATTTTAAATTATCTTACAAATGTAGAAAGTTCATTAGATTCAAATAAATTAGATAATATTGATAAAAATACAAAAACTGATAACCCTTCATTAAGTTACAAAAATGTTGACAATTTCAATAATATTTATAGTAATATTATTAAAGAAAATTTTAAGAATTTTTTTTTATCAATAGATTTAATATATAATATAGATATTTATTATTTTAAATTAAAAAATAAAATAAGCTTTGAAAAATTAATAAAAATTGATATCTCTTCCTATATCAATGAATCAAATATTTATGAAATAATTCAATTCGATAAAAATAAGAATGTAGATCAATGGAAGGCATTCACAAATTTTGTAATACTTCAAAATAAGTAAGACAATATTTAAAAATAATAAAAATAATTATATAAATAATAATAATAATAATAAATATGTAATATAAAAATAAAAATTTCTGTAATTGTTAAAATATTTTAAAATAAAATGTTACTAAATTAAATTATACAAAAAATAATATAAATATTTAATATATAATTTGTTGCTTAATATTATATTAAAACTTATTTGTATTTTTAAATGTATTTATTTTTATAATTTTTTTTTTTTTTTTTTTTAAAGTAATAATTTAAAATTTCAGAAATTTGATTGTTTCTCTATTTTCCTGATTGTTCGATTCAAATATTATTTGGAAGAATTTAAAGAAAACGCTAACATTGATCATATTTACAAAACTATAAAAGAAGAGTTTGATGAAATAGAAAATCATTTAAAGAGTAAAAATAATGAAAGTGATTTTGAATATAGTCATCTAATACCTATTTATCTTGATCTTCAAAAAGAAGTAAAAAAGGTATTTATTAACATAACTATTTTTATTATGAATATTAAAAAATTAAAAATAAAATTTATTAAATACATAAAAAAAAATTATTGTTTAAAATAATACATAATATACTTATTTTGAGACAGTATTAATTTAAAGAATGAGAAAATATATTTTATAATTTTTTTTTTTTTTTTTTTTTTTTTTTTTTATAGGTTTGCGAATATATAAAATTCTATGGTAATTTAATATCATTTGTAAATTTTATTAAAAAATATATTAATTCTCCTAATATAGTTAAAACTGAAGAAAATGAAGATAAGGAATATTTTGATTTATCTTTTTTTTTAAATTCATATTTAAATGAAAATGTAAAGAAAGAATAATAGAATATTTTTGTACTTACTTTTTTTTTTTTTTTCTTTATTACAATAATTAATGAATTTTTTGTTTTACGTGTTAATAATATTCTTTTTATTTATATTGAAATTTATATATTTTAATAAAAATTATTTTTCTTCTATTGTGAAATTTCGTTATTTTATTTTACTTTATTTTTCCATTATTTAAATATTTTTATGTTTCTTAAAATTTGGGTTCAAATTTTTTTTTTTTTTTAAATTATTTCATGATTTTCTATATAAATATCCACTATATAGAAATTGAATATACATATTTAACAAAATTTTAATGAAATTTTAAAATTATATATATATATATATTTTTTTTTTTTTGTTTTGTTTTATAATTTTATGAATAAAAATTTTAAAGTTTTATTATAAGGAATAAAAAAAAGAAAAAAAACTTTTAAAAAAAAAAGTTAATACCAAAATGAATATAACAATAAATATTTTCTTCATAAAATTTCACAAAAATTCAAAAAGACAGTTTTCTTAAATTATTATATTTTTCTTTTTAAAATATGTCTTCATAAGATTATTCCATTTTTATGTGGAATCTTTTTCATTTACACAATCTGCTTAATAAAATGTAATATTATTGAATTAATAATTTAAATAAATCAAAATAAAAATATGAAGAAATATTATTTATATTTAAAAAAAAAATATGTTTAATATTTAAACTAAAATATCTCACTGTTAATTTTATCAAAGTATTTTTTTCTATAATGTATAATTTTGCTCTTCTTAATTTTTGTTATTTTTAACAAATCCCAAAATTTATCTTCCTAAAAAAATTAATAATAATTAATAAAAATAAAATAAAAAGGAATAAGTATATTTTTTTATCATTTACCTGAATATTTATATTAAAAGAAAAAGTAGACAGATTTTTTACAACGATATCAATATTATCAAAATGATAAAATTTATCAAGGTAAGTAAATATGCATATAATTATCTTCAAAAAAAAAAAAAAAAAAAAAAAATTAAAATTACATTTTCTAATAAAAATTTATTTTATAAAAAAAAAAAATTTTATATTACCTCATATATTATTTCGTCATAAAATGTATATATATCAAATAAACGTATAAATATGTGAAAAGGTAGGCATCTGAAAAAAAAAAAAAAAAAGAACAAATTTAATTATGAAAAATAATTATTAAAAATAAATAAATATGTAAATAAAATATTAATTCAATTATAAAAATGTAAAAAAAGAAAAAATTACATAAAAAAAACAGTGAAAATCCATTGAATAAAAATATTATCTATATTATAATGTTTAATAATTTCTTTATAAATTTCTATATTTCTTTTTAGTAAAATTTCCTTTATAGTATAAATATAAGCTTTTATTTCCTCTTTATTGAAACTATAAAAATTATAAATATCTTTTTTGTCCTGTATGATAAAAAAAAAAACAATTATGTAAAGAAAAATATAAATTTAAAAAAAAAAAAAAAAAAATTTCAAAAATATCTACCATGAAATTAGCAAAATGAACAAAAGCTGTTTCTAAATCACAATATAACAAAAAGATCAGTGCAATGTAAGACATTCCCTGCACATAACTATATTAATATAATTCACAATATTAATAAAACGATATATAAATATATTCTATTTATATATATATATATATAATATAAAAAAATAATTCTCAGAATTATATTAATTTTTCAAAAACACTTAACTTTTTTATTTTTTTTTTTTTTTTTTTTTTTTTTTTTTTTTTTATTATATATATATTTATTACCCTAGTTCTGGTTTAAAAAGTACATACATCTGTAATAATGTATTTAATTTTTTTTTCATATCAGATAAGTTAATAGTAAGTATAAAATTATCTATAGTAATGTTATATTTTTTAAAATATTCCTGATTTTTTTTTAATATATAAATTGTTCTATCCAAATCAATTAATATTTGATAAAAAAACTTTTCAATAGAGAGATTTTGGAATAGTCTCATATTAGAATTAGATGTATCTTCATTGTTATTTTTATTATTATTTTCATTATTTTTACTAATATTTTTTTCTTCGTTATTGTTATTCACATTTAAATGATTTTCATAAGAATTTATTTCAGTATTATTATTTCCTGTATTATTTGTCTCATTATTAGTATGTTCGTTAGTTCCATCCTCCTTTTCATTATTATTATTATTATCATTTTCATAAATTAATGAATTATTTTGATAACCCATATACACATTTGTGTTTTTTTCTATATTATAATTATGTTTTAGTTCTGTTTCTGCAGTATTTAAATTTAAAAATTTATCTCGTGAGATTTTTAATGATTTGAAATATCTTATAACATGGTTGTGATATTGCTTATTATTAGAATATACATAGGATTGCATAAAAACAGTATTTTTAATTAATACTTGAACAAAATATTTTGTCAAATTTAGTTTATTATTAATACTCAATTCCCAAAAATACTCTTTTATTTTTTTTGGCATATAATTATTAATCATACAACTAATTAATAATTTTTTATTTTTGTCATTTTTTATCATTGGTAATATTTCTTCATACCAATAAATAAGATTACTAATTTCTTCATTTTTACTACTGTTATTATTTTTTTCTTCTTTCTTATTTGCACTTTCGTATTTCAAATCTTGTTCCATTTCACTAAAAATATTTTCTCTTTTATTATTATCAAATTCCTTATTTTTATTTGTAAAGAAGCTACTGCTACTAGGGGGACAATTCTGATTAAAGTGTTCTGAATATTTATTTTCATCTAATGGTAATTTTATATATTTGTCTTTTTTACTTCCTATTTTTTCATCTATTTTTTCAAAATATGTTTTATAATCAACTTCAATATCATATATTTTTTCACATTTTGAATATGAATTTTTGTTAAAACATTTTTCAGACTGTTCTTTATTTGTAGGAAAATCTTTCTTTTTCTTTTTCTTTTTATTAAAAAAGTTTAAAAAATAATTATTATTAACAAATTTTTTATTACTAATTTTTTTTTTTTCATCTATCTTATCATCAATTATTTCTTTGCTTTCAATCAAAATTTTTTGCATTTCAATTATTTTTTTTAATGTTTTAATTTCATTTTGTAGATTCTTATTTACATGCAATAACTCAACATACAATTCATGATACATAATATTGTTGTTGTATTCATAAACATTTCTTGGAACTATACCTTCTAATTTCATATTTTCCTTATTATCATTATTTACGAAATATTGTTTAAGATAATTTTCAATTAATTTGTTTTGGGATAAGGTGTTTCTATTATATAAATTATTAAATGAAATTTTATTTTTTTCTTCTATAGTATCATCAGGTGAATTATTATTTTTTAACTCATCTGAGAAATTTAAGCTTATCTGATCATCAAATATAATACTTTTTACCATTACATCAGAAAAGCTATTACTTTTTTCAACATCATTATTTTCCTTCCTAATAGCATTAGATAAATCCTTTTTTTCATTATTCTCATCTAAATAACAGTTTTGATAAAACTTTTGATCTTCTAAATTTGGTTTTATATTTTTATAAAACGTTTTATTACTTTTAAATTTATCATCATTAAAATGTTCTTCTTCTGGAAATTTTTGTATATCTTCCAATTTTTTATTTAATGAATCATTTTTATTAATAAAAGGTATTTTCCCTTTTTCTATGCTAATAATTTCTTTTTCATTAATATTTACCTTATTTTCTATCTTATCATATAAATCCATTATTATTATGTGACATATATTCTTTTATTAATTTTTTTCATACATTTTTAAAGAAAAAATTGGTTCTTAATTTCAATATTTAAAAAACATATTCTCATAAAACGTATATTTTTTTTTAATATATTTTTTACTATATATATATATATATATATTTATATATATTTTTTAATAAAATTTTTAAATTATATATAACATATTCTTAAAGAAAAATCCAGCATTAAAGTTAAATGAAATTTACGTGTGTACATTTATTTTATTTTTTTTTTTTAATTTTATGTTTCCAAATTAATATTAAAAAAAAATTATATTTTAATAATATAAATCAAACTTTAAAAAATAAATAATTATATAAAAAAAATATTATAGTGTATTTTAAATGTAAATGTAAAAATTTAACTTTAAAAATATAAATGAAAGAGTAAAAATTGATTATTTAAAAAAAGTTTACTATTTTTTTAAAGAAATTTTGGTTTTTATTAATTTTTCCTTTCTTTTATATATATATGTATATGCATATGTTTATCAATTATTTAAAAACATGTCAAATGATAAAATTATAGAAAATTTTGAAATATCTTGTGATTATTATTATTTCTACATATTTTATAAAAATCAGTGTATCTATAGTATTAACTTAAAAAAAGATGAAGAAGAAAAAACAAAAATAAATAAAAGTGAAAATGAGAAATTACTATTAGGATCCATATATGCCATAAATTACTTATGTTTTAATATTCAACCAAACAAAAAATTAAAAAATCTTTATAAAACCATTGAAAATACTAATAAAAATATGAATCAAAGTGTGAGAACTTATAATCAAAATATTATTAACAGACAAGAAAATTTGCACGTTGGAAATTTTAATTCTTTTAATACTCCATTTTATAAATTACATTATTTTGAAACATTAACAGGTTTATTTACATAACTAATTCACTTAATCTGAATAATTCATATTATATATATATATATTTTTTTTTTTTTTTTTTTTTTTTTTTTTTAGCTTATAAATTCGTTCTTATTACACACAAGGATACACCAAAATTATCTAATTTCTTAAGAGATATTTATAAAACTTTATTTCTTGATTTAATTGTATTTAATCCTATGTATAATGTAATATATATGTTTAATTTAATATTTTTAATTATAACTTTTTATATTAAATGATAAATTTTAATTTTAATTTTTTTTTTTTATTTCTCTCTAAAAGATAGGAGACGAGATCAAAGATAAAGTATTTGACGAAAAAATAATAGATCTAATCAAAAGAATATCATTTACATAATAAATATTTACATTTTTTTTATGTATTTCTTTTTTTTTTTTTTTTTTATATCTTTGTTTCATCCGTTTTTTTTTTTTTTTTTTTTTTTATTTTTTTTTTCTCATTTAAAGTTTTCATGAAAATATAAGTAAAAAAAATTATGTATTTTTATTGAATAAATTAAAATGTTTTTCAAAAATTTTAAATTCAATCATCATACAAATAAATATAACTACAAAAAAAATAATAACTTTAATTATTAATAATATATTTTATTTTTATTAAATAAATGTATATATATATATGTTATACATTTTTCTTGATAAATTATAGATATATAAAATGGTAATTGATACAGAGAATTTTTATGGTAAAAGAAAAAACGAGAAAAATTCTTTTGATGGGAATATCGAAAAATATAATATATTAAAAAGAATGAAAAGTTTAGGAGAACAAAATAAAAATATAAAAAAAAAAATATTTTATAAACAGCATGAAGCATTATTATGTTATAATGAATTTTTAAAAAGTAATATATTAAATAGTAATAAAAATATAATATTATACACTGAAGAATTAGATAATTCTAAGAGATGCTTTATTGTAGACAATTTTTCTAGTTTTTTAAAATATTATTGCTTTTATTCATTATCATTAAGTGAAATTTATTTTGATGAAAATGTGGAAACAAATAATGTAATAAACAAAAATAAAAATAATATAAATGAAAATAAAAATGAACAAGAAATGAATTTATATGAACTCATTATAACTAATGAAAAAAGGTGGTTATTTTTCGATATAGAATATGATATTATAAATAATTATGAAAATAAAAAATCTATTTTATTTATATTTCTTATTGAGTTCTGTTTATTCATGTATAAAAATTTCAACATTGAAATTTGCTTAAATGATTTTTTAATATTAGATAGTTCATCAAGTGATAAAATATCTTTTCATATTATTGTTAAAAATATTCACACACTTGATCACAATTATTATGAATATTTAATAGATTATTGTTATTTCTTTTTAAATCAAACAAATTTATCAAAAAATACTTTTTATGATAAATATAAAGAAAAACAAAGAAAATCCAATTTAAAAGATGAACGAAATTATTTGCTTTTTGATAATGAAGAATCTATAAAATATTTTGTCGATTTATTTATAGCACATATAAATGAAAAAATTGATCAAACTGAGAATATTTTTATTATTAATTCTTCTACTATTTATCTAGAGCATCAAGAAAATAATTTTTTTAACAACTTTCAAAACAAATTGATATATGATAAATGCTTAAGAGATGATAAGAATGTGAAAAATGATAAAAATTTATATGATCACAAAAATATAAAAAACGATAATGAAAATATAAAAAATGACAAAAATTTATATACTCATAGAAATACAAGCGACGATAAAGACCTAAATAATGATAAAAACATAAAAGACAATAATATTATGAATACTGAAAAAAATATAAAAGATGATAAATATTTGAATAATGATAAAGATATAAACGATAATAACATTTATTGTTACAATAATAATCATAAATTTAAGTGTGATATAAATTATAATAAAGAAAATGAAAATACAATTGAAAAAAAAACAAAAAAAAAAGAAAGTCAATACTTTTATTTGTATCAAAAAGAATTAAAAGATATAATAGAACACTATATAAATATATTAAAAAATAAAGATTTTGAAAATGAAGAAAAATATAATTACATAATTTTGCTTTATGCAAGAAAAAAAAATGTTAATTTAAATGAACATATAGAGGATTATAAATATAATTTTAATTGTTACAATGTAATGAACGAAAATAATTTTGTTGATAGAAATTTTAAAAGTTTTAATTATTTAAAAAATAACGAAGACAATGATATAGAGAAAATCAAAAATGCTGAAAAGTTCATCCCAAATGATCATAATTTGTATGAAAAAAACAAAAAAGATATTCTTTTAAAGTGTATTATTGATAATTCTGTTTATAGTAAGAACAGAAATTTTCGAATGATTTTTTCAAGTAAAAAAAATAAAAAAAATAAATTATTATTAAGTAACTTGAATGTTAAAAAATATAACAGAAATAATATATACAATGTAATATTAAAAAGTTTAGTAACCTTTCATTTTTCTAACGATGCAAATTATCAGATAAATGAAGAAAAAATTTTTAAAAATGAAAAAATAAATGATAAAAGTGAAAAAAATTGTGTAAGTGAATATATTTACACATATAAACATTTAAAAAGCAAACAATTCAATTCTTATAAAAATATTAGTTTAGACAAAATATGTTACAATCATATAAATAATATTTTAAAAATAATTTTCTTTTGGAATTTTGAATTATATAAAAACTTTCGAAAAAATAAAATTTATATCAATAATTTTCAAAATGAAATAAAAAAGGAATATTTTTATAGAATTATTTTAATTTATAATAATATGAAATTTGAAAATTTTAAAGAATATGCAAATAACAATAACAACCATTTAAATACAGAATTAGAATTAAAAGACAACAAAAAAAATACCATTAGTATTAATAATGAAGAAAAAAGTAGCCTAACAAACACAAGAAAAGATACAATATGCAAAAGTAATTCAGTGAATATAAATTCTTTAGATAATTATGACACATTATTTTTAAAAAATGATATGTTTCATTTACATGTGTTAAGTGAATATAAAAAAGCCTTTAATAATAAAAATGATGATATACTTTTTTTAATAAAATATTTTTTATATTCTATCTCATATTATGAAGAGGAATATGTTTTAAATTTCAGAGATAATAAGTATTGCAAAAATAAAAAGTTTTCACACAAATCTAATCATATTTATATAATTTATAATTATAATAGAAATTTGTTTGTTCAAAAATGTTATGATAATGATTGCTCACATTTTGTTTCAGAAATTAATTATTTATAAAAAAAAAAAAAAAAAAAAAAAAAAAAAAAAAAAACAATATTTAAGGTAATATTTAATAATAGAATTTAAAAAAAACATAAATTAATTTCTTAAAGAATCAAAATTAAAACTTTTATATTAAAAAGATTATAATAGAATAAATAAAATACAATAAATTAAAATTGACAAAAAAAGAGCGGATAAAGGTAAATTAATATATATATATATATAATGTAAGTATATTTTTTGGAAATAAATAATGTAAAATAAGTAAAACAAAAGCATTTCTTTAAATAGTTACTCATTTGTTATTATAAATTAAAAAAATAAAATAAATATTATATTTAAAAACTATAATTATATAAGATATTACTTCAATAACATTTGTAAGTCTTTTAAAATTATTGTAAAGATAAAAATTATTTAAGTAAAATTTATAAAATAAAAACTAAATTTTGATGTAATAATTTTTTAATAAAAATGATTATATAAAATTAAAATACATATAGATTTAATAAAAATTCGTTTTAGTTGAATTAAGATATAACACATTAAAAAAAAAAAAGAAAAAGTTTTGAAAATTAATTAGAAATTAAATCATAATCTTTCTTCAACAAAATTGTTAACTCTTTTTCATATTTAGAAGCAATCTTTTTATTCTCTACATGAAATAGCAAAGTATAAAATATATTTAAATCAAATTTATAATTTAAAATATTATTCTTTTTTGCATTTTTTAAAAGATTTTTATTATTTAATAAATTTCTAGAATGACATTTTATTCTTTCAGAAATGTTATCACTTATTCCTATATAAAAATATGGTCTTTTTTCATTTTTTGCAAAAATACATAAAATATAAACAATACTTTTATTTTTAAAATAAATTGGTATTTCTTCATTCATTCCTATTTTAAGAATTTTTTTTTTTGAAATTTGTTCAATTTTTTTAATAGCTATATTTAATTCACTTTCGTAAATTTCATAATTATTTTTTTCATCTAATATCTCGTTAGATATATCATTAAAACTTTTATTATTATTCTCATCACCATTTTTATCTATTTGACTATCATTTATATTTTCTTTATTGTCATTTATAAATAATTCTTTCTTTATAATATCATAATTTATTAAATTTTGCAATTCTTTGTCTTGCATTAAATCTGAATCATTTTTAATATCATTATATTTATATTTTTCCAAATTTTTATCATTAATATCGATAAAGACACTATCAAAAAAATCATTTAAACTTCTTTTTTCTTTTTTATATTTAAGGTAGTCTAAAAATTTATAATACAAAATATTATTTAAATTATGAATCAATTTATACTTTTTTTCATATATATTTAACAGATGTAAAACTTTAGAATCGGTGTTCGTATATCTACATGTTTCTAATGCTTCACTATCTTTGCATATTCCATTTTCTAATTTTGTAACTTGTTCACTTTCTTGTCTTTTCAAGTAATTTATATTTTCATTTATTCTTTTAAAAATAATATTTTCACTTTGACAAATTTTTTTTAGTAAATCGTAATTGTGAGTAATAATGATTCCACAATAATTTTTTAAATAATCAGAAATAGCACTAATAATAACTGAAACAAATAAAAAAAACATCCAAATGAATAAGATACAAAATATGAAAATACATATATATTCATGCCAATATGTAATTATAAAGATAGTAAAATTTATAAATCATTATAAGACTTAAAAATATAAAAATGTATATATTTTTTTTTTTATTTTTTTTATTTTTTACTTGCATTATCAATAGGTGTTGTTGCTATACATGGTTCATCAAAAAGAATAAAAATTTCATTTTCTCTCGATTCTTTTTTATCAAAAGAATAATTTTCTTTTATTTCTTCAATTATAGAATTTATATAGAATGCCTGTTCTCTAAATAAAGACATATTTTCAATTTGTTCATGATAATTCACATTTTTTAAGCTATAAAATTCTCGAAATTTAGATATAATACTTTTTTTATCACATGGCGCATACAAACCTAAAGAAAAACAAATAAATATTTAAATAGGAGCTAAAAATTAACGTATTCTATATATATATATAATATATAATACCTAGATTTGCTAAAAAAAGTATGCATAAAATAGTAAAAGATAAAGTTGTCTTTCCACTCATATTTTTTCCAGTTAATAAAATAAAATTTTTTTTTTTAAAAAAAACATCATATTTAACTAAATTTTCTTTATTTATATTGTATGGTTTTGCACCTAAAATATATGTAAGAGAATCATTTACATAATTTTTTTTTTCATATACTTTTTTGATTTCTTCTATAGAATCCTCGTCTACATTTTCCTTCAATTTTTTTTTATCTTCTTCAGTTAATTTTAAAAATTCTTCATCACAAGTATAATTATAATTGTTTTTATTATCATTCTTTTTTTCTGATAAAAATTTATTTTTGCTATAAGAGTTTTTATTACAGGATTCATCGTTTGTTTCATTGTATAACAATTTTTGTATATATAATAATTTATCATTAATATTATTAAAATCTTTATATTCATATGTTAAAAATAAATGCTTACAAATAGGTAAATTCCATTTTCTTTTTATACTATTTATAGTGTGATTATACAAAGCCTAAAAATGTTTAAAGTATATATATATATATATATATATATATATATATATATATATATATATATATATTAACAGATAAAAATTAGCTATATTTCAACTTTAATAACATGAATAATAAAAAAATAAATATATTTTTTTTAATTTTACTTGAATAATTTGTAAAAAATTAGATACAAATGAAAGAATATGAACAGATGAAGATAACTGTATATTAATTCTTTTGATTGTTTCATTAATTTTTTGTTTTTTTCTATCAATAGAACAAAGATAACTTTTAATTTTTTTTTGAACATTTTCTGTAACAAAAATATTTTTCATTAAATCTGATTTCTTGTTTAAAGGATGAAAAAAATTTAATGTTTTTTCATTTTTTTTTTTTTTTTTTACACCAATTATATCATTTACATTATCAATTTTTATTATTTTATTTAATAAATCTAAATCATACTTTTTTTCTAATTCATTGTATTCCGCATAATTAGATATAATAGTTTCTAATAATTCTTTTCTATTTTTTTCAATTTCTTTATTCTCTTCTATTAACAACTTTTCATTAATTATATTATGTACATGATTTTCATGATAATAAACAAAATCATTAAATAAAATGATATCGGATTCAACAGAAAATTTTATACTAGAAAACTCTAAATTATATTTTAAAATTTTTTCAATACTTATTAATAGCTCATAAAATTTGATTATGTTTAATTTAAAAGAATTCTGATGATTAAGAACATGGAAAATGGATATCAAAAGTGAAAATTCAAAATTATGCATACAGTTTATTACGCTTTGAATATTAATAAATATTTTTTTCAAAATATTATAATCAGCTTTCAAATTAGACAAAAGAGTTATAACTATATTGTTTCTGAATGGTTTTACATTAGGAATGATTAAATTTTTTAAATTTTTTTGAATATAATCATTTATAAAACGTATATGTTTAGTTACTTCAAACGGTGGATAAAATAGAAATAGATTTTTAAAAAATTCTAATGACTCAATTATATTAATACTCTTAGAATCATTATTATTTACATCTATTATATTAAAAAATAAATAACTGTCTCTATTTTCATAGCAATTATTTTGCTTATAAATACCCATATTGTAACTTGTAAAAATATTGAGAGGAGTACAATAAGAATAATAAGAATAATCAAAATTATTTTCTAATCTATAATTGTTTGTTGATAATTCATTATTTGAAGAACTTTCAGAATTTATATTTCTCTCTGTATTATTCTTATAATTAACGTTTTCTTGAGAAGGAATCCTTTCATTGCTATTATCACAATTTATATCATTAAAACAAACGTTTTCATTATTTACATAATTACTATCATTAATGTCACTTATTTTATCATTTTTATTATTTTCATTTTTTTTATTAGACATTGATTTTATTTTAAAAACATTTTTATTTTTTATCAATCTAAATAATCCTTTTATATTAATTTGTTTTTTTAATTTATCTAAAATGAACATGTGAAAATGAAAACTATTATTAAAATTATTAAATAAATAATAATTTTCTATTTTAAATAATTGTGTTATTTTTTTTGTGAAAGACGTATTATTATGCTGATGAATATATACTTTTAAAAAATTAGTATTTTTTAAATAAATATTTAAGACATCAAAAGTTATATGATCATAAATAGCTATTGTTTTTAAACTTAAATTTATTTTACTTAATGAAAAGATATTTCTACTTTCAATATATATACATACGATTTCTTTTATTACAAAATAATCATCTAAATCATATAAATTATAAAAATAATTACTTGGTTTATTTTCAGAGTCATCACTAATATTAGTTTCATCAAGTGAATTGCAATACTGTATATTATTGAGGTATAAAGGGAATTCAGGTGTTACTATTTGAGATAGATATCTTTTTTTCATTTTTAATGATTTTTCATTTATTTCTTCATATATGCATATATTTAAATTATTGTTTGTTAAAATATTTAAAGCTTTATTTATACTGCTTTTTATAAAACCACATGATAATTTATTATTCATTTTTTTAATATTTAAGAATTCTATCAAGAAAATTGAATCCAATCCATATGTTTCATAAAAGTCACCAACTCTTGATAAAATTATGCAATTACTGAATTTTTTCTTTTCATCATTTAAAAATTTTAATAATCCTTTATTTTTATAATTGTCAAAATATAGTAAATTATCGTCCTTTAAATAATCTATACAGTTAATTGCATTAATATTTTTTAAGTTTTCCAATTTTTTAATCCAATAAAGGGGAATTTTCCATTTATTTTTGTATAATTTTAGTTCATTATCAGAAGGCAAAAATTTTTCATTTATATTTGCAAAATTTTTAAGTTTTTCGTCATTTTCATTATATGAATGAAATATTTTATTTTCCGTTTTTTCATTATTATCAGAAATGTTTTCAAAATTACTATTAGATATAATATTATTTTTATCCTCAAATGATGAATTAATCTTTTTATTATTAATTATATTGTAATCTTCTAATTTTGTAATTTTGTAGATATCATCTTCTTTTGTATATATTAAATTATTTATGTAATTTCTATTTAAGTAAACTATATTTTTTACATTAACTATCCTTTTTCTATTAAAATAATTAAACATTAATTTTTTTTTTAAACTCATTATATTTTTCAAAGAAATTAGAAAAATACTAAAAATTAATATATATTTTGGTAAAATGCCATTCATTTATTATAATACTTATATATTTTCTCATTTCTCTTTTCTCTTTTATATTAATTTTTTCTATAAAAATTTTCCTATATATATAAATGTGTTTTTTTTCACTTTTCTCATTTTAAGAATAATTAGAATATCCCAAAGATATTAATTTTTTACTTTTCTTTTTTCACTTTTTATAATTCTACAAAACATCAAAAATATCAAAATATATCATATTTTATGTTTTAAAAAAAGAAGATATTCATAAAATTAATATATAAATTTAATACGTTTTAATTTATATCATTAAAAATATCACAAAAAAAAAAAAAAAAAAAAAAAATTAATCAAAAATAAAAAGAGACAATTTATAATGAAACATAATATAAAAATTATGATACAAGAATTTAAAAAATAATAAAATTACAAACATAAAAAAAATATAAATATCATCTTGTAATTATGTCCTTTTAAAATTGTTCATAATTTTATTATCTCTTCAATTTTTAACAACTTTATACATTGAAGTATATAAAAAAGATGTAAAATATTCAATTTTTTTATATTTTGTGTTAATATATTTTTCCCATTCATTTAAAAATATACGAGAGATATTTTTCACTAATATTCAACAAATAAAAAGATTAAAAATAAAAATAGCACAGAAGAATAAATGAAAAAATAGTAGAAATATAATTATAAATAAAATAATTTTTACATAAATACTAAAATTGATATATATATTTTTATATTTTTTTTATTTTGATGATTGGAATTACAATAATAACGGGATTTTTAGGTTCTGGGAAAACCACCTTACTTAAAAATTTATTAAATGAAAGCTTAAAAAAAAATAAAAAAATTGCAATAATACATAATGAATTCACAGAAAATAATAATAATATTGACAAAATAGTCTTTAAGGATATTAATGATATATATAATTTTCCAAAAGAAAATGGAGAAAATATAAATGCATTTAATAATGAAAATATAAACAGTTTGAAAATTATAAATGAAATTGAAAGTGAAGAAGGATTTATATATGAACTAAATAATGGGTGTTTATGTTGCTCGAATAAGAGTAATTTTGTAAAATTAATTGAAAATATTTTATCCTTAAAAACTTCATATGATTATATTTTCGTTGAAGTTTCTGGTGTTTATGATAATATAAAAATCAATAATCTCTTATGGTTAGATGAATTAAACAAATCTAAAATATATTTGGATAGTATTATCCACATAATAGATTCTTACAATTTTTTAAATTCTTTTAATGACAATATACAATATTATGAATCGTTAAAAAAATCAAATAATATATCAAATAGAGAAAATTTTAACAATAACATATTTGAAAATAAAGACAATATAGTATGCGAACAAATAATTGTTTGCGATGTTATAATTATAAACAAAATAGATAAAATTAGTATGCTTGATAAAGAAAAAATAAAAACTTTTATTAATAATATAAACCCATTAAGTTCTATATATTTAACAAGTTACTCAGTAATTCCTATTGAAGATATAACTAACTTAAGATGCTATGAAAAAAGGAATATAAAAAATGTGTTAAATACTGTAGGTAATAAAAAATATTTTCATTATATAGATTTTAACAACTGCTCTTTTGAATATGAGCATAATATATTATATTTAATTCACTTGAGTGATCAATTAAATAAAATGAAAAAAAATTTTTTAAAAGAAAAAAATAAAAATATTTTAAAAGATATTTTTTCCTTGAAAAAAAACAACATTTTCTCATATAAAAAAATTAATGATATTTTAGCATCGCTTTTGTGGGGTAACGACTTACATATATATCGTGGAAAAGGGATTTTTGTAGCTTTCAATGATGATATTTATAATAACAAAAATAAATTAAAATTAAGTATATATTATTATCAGAGTGTTGGAGATTTATTTGAAATTAATCTAGTTATTAGTGATCTTCATGTATTTTTTAGAAATTACTTAAAAACATCTCAAGAAGGAGAACGGAAATATGAAAATAATTATTTGAACCATTCTCCATTCGTTGATAATAATTTAACTAGTTTAAGTAATAATAATGATAACATAAATAATGATAATAATATGTTATTTATTTATAAAGATTTCTTTGATGATGAAAATTATTTTTCTGATGATTCTACCACCAGTGATAATGGCGAATATAATTTAAATAATATTTTGAATAGTTACGATATTTTTACGTCAAAATTTTTATTTATAGGAAAGAATATCAACACAGAAGAAGTAAAAAATAGATTAAACGAATGTTTATATAATTAACTTTTAAAATAGTTTTTATAAAAGAAAAAGAATAAATTCCTTATTCTTTTTTTTTTAATAGGATAATTCATAGAATCAAAAAATATACATTTATTAGTTTCTTTTGTCTATTATATTTTAAAATAAACTATTTCATATTATTCATTAAAGAAAAAGAATATATACTTATATACTTTAATTTTAGTTTTTCTATTTAAAAAAGTATATTCAATTAAAAATTTCAATATATATATACGCATATAATTTTTTTTATTTTTTTTTTTTTTTATTCAAAAGAATCTATGCAAACAAAAAGTAAAAAATAAAAGAAAAAAATTAACATTTATTTTATTTTCTTAAAATATATGTTAATTATAAATTTCTATTAAAACACTTTATAACTCTAAAAAAATTATTCATGTGTTTATATACGTAATTTTTTACTTTTAAAGTGAAATAATAAATATGTAAATATATATATATATATATATATATATATATTTAAAATTTAAAATCTTTATATATTTCTGTCTATAATGATATATGTTTTAGAGAAAAAATTAAAATAGATATATATAATAACTATAGGTAATAAATATATAGACTTCCATTTAAAAATCAGTATTTAAACAAAATACTTGATCTTTTCTTTGTGCCATAACACCAGATTTTTGATAATCTGCAACACGTTTTTCAAAAAAATTGGTTTTTCCTTGAAGTGAAATCAAATCCATCCAATTAAAAGGATTTTTTGAATGAAAAACTTTTGAACAACCTAAACACTCTAATAATCTATCTGCTACAAATTCAATATATTGTGACATTAATCTAGAATTCATTCCTATTAAATCACAAGGTAAAGATTCACATATAAAAGATCTTTCTACTTCAACAGCTTCTTTAACAATATTTTGAACAACCTCTTCAGGTAATTTATTTTCTAACAAACTATAAATTAAACAATTAAAGTCAGTATGTAATCCTTCATCTCTACTAATTAATTCATTGCTAAAAGTTAATCCATGTAATTTATTTTGTTTTTTAAACCAAAAAATTGCACAAAAACTACCACTAAATAAAATTCCTTCTACACAAGCATTTGCTACTATTCTTTCTGCAAAAGAATTTGTATCGTTTATCCATTTTGCTGCCCATAAGGCTTTGTTTTTTACAGCTGGTATATTTTCAATGGCATGAAATAAATTCAATCTTTCTTTTTCATCTCTTATATAGTTATCAATCAATAAACTATATGTTTCTGAATGAATATTTTCTACTGCAATTTGAAAAGAATAAAATTTTTTTGCTTCAGTTATTTGAACTTCTCTTAAAAATTTACTGGCTAAATTTTCTAAAACTATTCCATCACTTGCAGCAAAAAAAGCTAATACATATTTTATGAAATGTTTTTCATTTTCATTTAATTTTTCGAAATCTTTTAAGTCACTCGATAAATCAATTTCTTCAGCTGTCCAGAAAGATGCTTCTGCTTTTTTATAAAATTCCCATACATCAGGATACAAAATAGGATATAATGTAAATCTGTCACTTTCTTTATTTAAAATTTTCTCATTTGATTCTTTCCTTTTTTGAATATCACTAAATTCCCTTTCCTTTTTCGTAAAAATAGGAACTTTTGAGATATTAATTACATCGGCCATTTAGATATATATATATAAAAATACAATAAAAAAAAATATAAATAAATTAAAATATATTAAAATATAAAAAAAAACAATGATTTTAAAAAAAGAAAAAAAAAAAAAAAATTATTTAATAAGAAAAAAATAAAATAAAAAAAACATATTCTTAAATAATAAAATGAAATTAATGTATTTTATAATGTTTTTAAAATATATATCGTAATAAAATAAAAATTATTTATTATAATAATGGAAATTATTGATTAAAAAAGAATTTAAAAATTATAAATGGAAATAATATGCTTATTTATAAAATAAAAAACATTTTAATTTTGCTATAATATAATTTTTCGTAAGAATCATGATGTATGCTAGATATAATGATTTGGATAAAAAAAGTAAAAACATAAAAATGTAGGAATTAAATAGTTTCTTTTTTGTTATTTTAAATGCTTTAAAATTCAAATAATTATAATATTCTTTTTTTTTTTTAAAAAATATCTTATTATATAATGCTCTTTATAAAGTTTATTTATAAAAATAATATTATTTTTGTCTTATATAAAATGTGCATTATTATAAGTTATGCATAAATATAGAGAAACTGTATTAAATTATTATGTTAAACTCTTTCTACTTATTGTGGTTAAAATGCATAATAAATTTAGACAATAAATTATCTTTAATATGCATGACATCATTTCATTTATCATTCAAAATACTTTTTAACATAAATTTAAAATTCTTATTACATTTGGTATTTTTATTCTTAAAATATATTTTCTATACTAATTTTTTCCTTTAAAATATAAGTTTACTAGCTTTATTAATATTATAAATATTTCAAAAGTAAAAACTAAAAAATATGCATGTTAAGTAAAAAAATAATAAAAATATTACATGAGAATATAAATAAAAGGTGAATTTTCAAAATATATACTTTTATAAAACATAATGGAAGAAGTTGTTAAGTGTTCAACTGGATTAGTGTTTTTTTATCTTTTTTTACTCACTTAAAAAACAAAAAAAAAATAAAAAAAAAATAGATAATAGTATTATTAATAATAGCTTTAATAATGCTATTAATAATAAAAATAAGAATATAATTATTAAATGTTATGAACAAATAACTTAAAAATATTTAATTTGTTTTTATTAATAAAAAAATGAAAAGTAATGTGTAATGATAAATTAAAAATATATATCTTCATCCATTTTGAAAACATAAACAATGTACATAAATATATATACTACTAAAAAATAACAATTATTTAATTTTTTTCTATGTCATTAAAAGTTTATTTTATTATTTATTTTTTTTAAAACAACACACATTAAAAAAGGGTTGTAATACTAAGTACAAATAGCTATAAAGAATATCACAAATTTTACTCTAAAAAAAAAATATAAATATATATATATATTATAAATTTTAAAAATTATGATTTATTAATAAAATTTTTATATAAATTTAACAATTGGACAAAAAAAAAAAAAAAAAAAGATAAAATAATTATATATTTATTTTCATATTTTGCATTCATAAAACTAAAAATTGAAGTTATAATAACAAATACTAGTATTATATATATGCTATTTTTCAAAAAGATCAGAACTAATTTATTCATTCTTTATCTTTTTTTTTTTTTTTTTTTAAAAATTTTTCTATGTTTTTTCTACATAAAGGACAATCGTTATTTCTTTTTAGCCAAGTAAATATACATTCTTTATGGTAATAATGAAGATAATTACAAGGTAATATACAAATATCATCATCATCAGAATATTCTATGCAACAAATGGAGCATATAAAATCTGAATTTTCAATATTAATATGAACAGAATTATCATCACTATATTCAATTTTTTTCTTCTCAATAATACTTTTTTTTTTTTTTAAAAATCTCTTTAAATAACCATATATTCCTTTAACATTATTAATTGACTCATCGTTTTCATAATTTGATGTTCTATTAATGTTATTATTATTATTATTATTATTATTATTATTATTACAACTATTATCAATATAATTACTATTATGATTAATATTTTTAAAATTATTATCATCATTATTAACATTATTATTATTACTACTACTATTTGTTCTATCTTTCTGGTTACATACGGCAATATTTTTATTACTCGATGTACAATTTTCATTATTTTTTTGTGCAACATCATTACTATTTGCGTTTTCTCCATTTATATACTTGCTATCATAATAAATGACATTTTCTAACTTATTTATTGTAATGTTATCATTTTTTTGAGGTAAAACATTTTTATCCGTATCAGTATTTATTTCTTGATTAATTTTATCATTATGAATACACGAAGTAGTTGAGTTTGTGCAAACTTCCGTATGATTATTAACAGCATCATTTTTTTTTTCATGTTCATTATAATCTTGTACTTCGTTATCATCATTCTTTAAAGATTCTTTTAATTGATCTTTTTTATTTTCATTTTTATCTCCTTCCTTTATTTCATTGTCACCATATATATAATTACCTCCGCTTGCATATTTTTCTGCACAATATTTTCTATATTCTAAATATTTCATTATTTTTAATTTTTTTAATATCCTTTTTGGTGTTGGACTTTTCCTTCTTATAATAAAAAGTATTATTATAACCGCAAAAAAAACAATATGCAATACAATATATAAAAACAAAGGCAAGAAATAATATATAATAGCTAAAATTACTGTAAAAGAAAAGGTATTATTCACAGAAAATGCTTTTCCTGCAAAAATTAATATATATAAACATGCACTAAAAAAAAAAATGGAAATAAAATGAATATATGACTCAAGTGCTTTAATACATTTGGAAATTTCAACTTGTCTAAATAATTTATAAGATATGTATAAATTTATGCAAATATGTATAAATAACAAGCCTAACAATATAGCACAAAAATATTTCATAGTTTTTTCTTTATTTGAAATAGAGGATTTACTAAAATCATAACTCAATGTACCCATTAGCAATAAAACCATTAATAAATAAGATAAATGAATAAAAATAGAACATATATGAAAATTCCTATATGTTCTGCTCGACAAATTTACATCATCTTCTAATAAAAAACTGTTAAAACTATCCAATGTATTATCCAAATTATCATCACAATTATTATTATCAATTTCTGGTGAATGTTCATTTTTGTTATCATTAATTTGAGCTGTACTCTTATTCTGTTCATTACAATTAACGTTGTTTTCTTCTAAAATAGTACTTTTATTCGCATTTCCAATATCTCTTTCATTAGGATTACTTATATTACTAATATTTTTATTATTTTCTATTTCGTGAACAATTTTATTTTTTTTTTCATTATCCACCTTGTCATTTACATTATTATCTTTTGTGTTATTATTACTACTACTATCTAATTTATGCTTTACATTATTTTTATTTGAATTTAAATAGTCATTTTTACTTTTATTAAATACATCATTAACATTTATATCCACAATTTTACTTTCATTATTATTATATTTCAACATTATGTCATACTCTTTATTTTTATTTTCATCAATTTTATTCAAAATTACTTTGTTTTCCTTTTTGATTTCATTGTTTATGAATTCTTTAATATTTGAATTATATTCTACTTTTACACTGTTATTATATTCATTGTTCATATTATTAAATATTTCCTCTTTTTCAATGTTTTGTAAACTATTTTCCATTATTGTACCGTTCTCATAACTTTTATTTATATTATTATTAATATTAACTTTTTTTTCATTTTCTATAGTTTTATTGATGTTCATTATTATTTTATAATATAATTAAAAATTTTACGAATTTTAATGTTATTATATATCAATATATATATATATATTTATATATATATGTTTTTTTTTTTTTTTTTTTTTTTTACATATATTGATTTTCGTAAGAAATTTATCATAAATCAAATATTAACTCAAAAAAATTGAAAATGATTATTAAAAATAATTCATTTTAAATATATCATTAAAATAAATTTTCATTTAAAAAAAGATGTTCATCTATTTTTTCTTAAGACGTTTTTTTTTTTTTTCTTAAGTTTTCATTTATCTCAATAATTGAATAAAATTGATTGTATTGATTATATTAATTAAAAAATAAATGTAGGTATATATTTACATAAAAATAAAAATTAAAATAAAATTGTAAATAAAACTTTGTATATTATTTAAAACTAATTAAAGGATTGAATTATTTTTAAAGCCAAAATAAGGAATTTATCCATTCCAAAAATTAAATAAAAAAAAAAAAAATCGTGTGAGCTAAAACAATTTGCGTATCTTTTTTTTTTTTTTTTTTTTTTTTTTTTAAAGAAAATATAAAAATATGTTTTTTCCCTTCATACTAATATTAACTCAAATATTTAATGAATTTAAATTAAAACATAAATAAAAATTATTAAGAAGCATTTAAAAATAAATATTTTCTTAATATTTTTTATTTTTTTTGCTTCTTTGCAAAAATATATGCTCTGAAGCGACATATACTGAAGTTCCATGCACACAGATGTAAATTTATTTTTAAAAAAATGAATGAAAAATTATAAAATAATAACCTATGTTAAAAACCCATTAAAAATAAAAGGTATGTAATTTGAGTTCTTAAATTTCATGAATCATTCAATAAAAGAGAAGATAATGTATAAAATATTAATCCAATATCATAAAAAATGAAATGTTATAAAATTTTAATTTTTTTTTTTTTTTTTCAAATATATAAGTTCTATTAAAAGCTATCATTAAACAAATATTAAAAAAAACTCAATTGAAAAAAGTAAAAGAAATATTAAAAAAGTTTTTATTATTTCATATATAAACTTGGTATATTAAAAAAAAATAAAATAAAATAAAATAATTAAATAAAATAAAATAAAATTAAGATTATCAAAAACTTATTTGCAATATTAAAGAAATTTAAAGGCATATGATAAATTATATATTTAATTTTTTAGTATTGGGGAAAAAAAAAATATATATTTCAATAGTCTATTTGTGGAAATAAATTTGTAAGAGAAAAAAAAATTTATTGCATGCATCAGATAAGTTTTATTATAAATATTAACATTCTCTTTTCATTTCTCATTAAAAGAAAAAAAAATTATCATTAAATAAATATTGAATTTTCATTTTTAATAATAACATTTTATAAATTTATAAGTGTAAATTTTTTGTCCATTTTTGTTAAAGATAGTTCAAATAAAAAAAAAAAATTTTATGTATACAAAGCAGAAAAATTATTATCTGTATGAACAAACAGCCATGGTTTTTTATGTGACCAAACAAGGTCTAATATTTTTGATTCATATGATAATTGTTTAATTGGTAATAAAATTGGATTTGTTATATAGTCTTGAAAAAATTTGGAATAAAATAAATTTACAGTTCCATTTGAACTTAATGAATAAAACAAATTATAAATTTTATGAAATTCCACTTTTTTTAAGGGATAATCTTGCAAATGGAATTTTTTATAAGGGTTAGAAGACAATTCTAAATCAAATATAAAAACTTTTCCCCTTTCATCTGAGGCCAAAACATACCCTTCACTAATATGTATATCAATACTTGTTATATTTTGGATTCCTCTTAGTTTCTTTATGATTCTATCTTTTTTAGATTTAGGCTTTAAATTATATATTCTATAAACGATAAAAAAAAATATATATATATATATATATATATATATGAAACATAAAAAATATATTAAAAAATAATGTCATAAATATAATGAAAAGTAAATTAAATAAATTTTTTTTCTTCTTTTATCTTACATTATATTGTTTTCAAAAGCAACTGCAAAGTATGGACTTCTAGGAAAAAACATTGTTTGAATAATATCTCCTCTTTTTTGTTTATATTTTTTTATGAGTTTTATAGATTTCATTGATTTTAAATGATGTAAATAACAATAATTATATTGACCAACTTTTCTTAGGCACGTTACCGATAAATAATTACCTTAAAAAAAAAAAAAAAAAAAAAAAAAAAAAAAAAAAAAAAAAACATTTTATATGTTTATTGTGTGAATACAATTATTATACACATTTGTCATTTAGTTTTTTTAAATACCATTTTTATTCCACGAAAAATCTTTAATTTTGCCTTCATGTTTTATAGCAACGCAGTACTTTATTTTCTATAATTAAAAAAAGGAAAAAAAAAAAAAATTAATAAAATTTTATTTACAATAATATTATTATGTAATTATTACTATACCTTATCATTAGATTTAATATTAATCCATTTTATATCAACATCTGTAGAATAACAATATTCATCAGTGTTTTTAAAATTATTATGAAATACACTAAGTAATCCTTTCGTTTTATGATAAATAATATTTCTATCTAGATTTATATATTGTTTTTTTGATTCACAATTTTCCTCAGTGTTACTATTTATCTCATTTTCATCTTCGTCAATTTCCATGTTACTATTGTCTATATATGTTTCATCATCATCATCATTTTCTTCATCAAAATCTTCATCATATAAATCTGATTCATCTTCATCCCCACTGTTTGATGATGGTATAGATGTATTATTTTTCTCTTTATTTTGATTATCATTATCATTACAAGTACTTTTATTCTTTTTATTAGTGTGATAAATTTCTTCAACATTTTCATTACCTGACCTAATAGGTGGTACATAGCTTTCATAATGAAATAAAAATATAATATTTCCACAAGAAATAGCTAAAATTGAATAAGCTTTATTAACTTTTATCATAACATTATCTTGAAATTCGTCCGATATTTTATTCTTTGGAATAACTTTCTTATAATAATACTTTAAATCAATTGTGGCCATATTGTAAGATGTTAATATATCAAATACATATAAGGTATTGCATTGAATTGTGTAAACAATATGATCCCTTTCGTTTATGTCAATGTGACCATTATATTTATTTTTATCCTTAGTTAAATCATCATTCAGAATATATTTAATAAATTGATATTGAGGAAATGGCTTTAATGAATTTGTGGATGGTAATTTTGGCAATAGATCTTCTTTATTTATATTTAGAACATTTTTTAATGATCTTGAACATAAATATATATCCAAACATCTTTGATATAAATCAAAATATGTTTTTTTATAATATTCTATACTTCTTATATTTTTAAATTTTTGTGGTATAAAAGCATCTTCATTATTTTTTAAAATATTCCTTTTTTCTGATGAATTATACATTAATTCTGGTGGTGGATTGTAACTGTATTTATGACCTGGTAATATATTAGGTAAATTTATTTCATTGATGTTGTTAAATTCATCATATATTTTATTTTTCCATAAATCATATATATCATCTTCTTCTTTTGGTAAATATCTTTCTGGATATTTTTGTTTATTCAATAAATAGTTCATTATTTGAAGAATTTTTTTTTTATCATGTTTTGATTCTTTATAGTTAGCTTTAATCAAATTGTAGTTAGATGTTGGAAACATTTTATACTCTTCTTTTTCATTTTCATAAATGTAGTTAGAATTATCAATGTATTTTGCTACTTTATTTTCTCTAATACTTTTTATTATCTCTAAATCAGTATTTGTTAATTGCACAATTCTGTTATTTTTTTTATCTTTTATTTTTCTCCATGCATTATCATCTGTTTTTGATTCAATAAAATCATCAATAGCATTTCCTTCCTCTTTGTATATCTTTCTCCCTTTTATATCATAACCTAAATGTAAACAAAAAGAAAGAAATATTAGAAAATAAAAATAAATTGAAATAGAACAAATAATTTTTCAAAATTAATAACAAGTAAAAATGAAAAGTATATATTTAAAAAAAAATAAATATAAAATTTAAAATAAATGTGAAAAGAAACAAATATGATATTCAAACATTTATTAAAAAGAAAAAAGAAAATACTATAATGGTGTTATAATTTTCTATTTTTTTTTTTTTTTTTTTCTTTTGCAACTTATGTAACTATTTATTACTAACCTATGATATCGAAATTTTCATAATGCTTTAAATCGAAGTTTCCAAGAGTATTTATATTATATTCATCATCACTTTCATCAATTTCTTCATTTATAAAAACATTATTTTCTGTGTTTGTGCTTTTTGCACTACAATTATAAAAATCACTTCCTATAGTGTCTTCATAATCTGTTTCCTTTTTATTAATTTTATTTCTATTTTTTATTTTAATGACATTTAAATTTTCCTTTATATTTTTATCCTTTTTTTTTTTTGGTTCCTTTAATTTCATTTTTTCTATTTTTACGTTCATTTCTTTTTCTTCTTTTTTATTTTTTATATTATTTTTTTCAATATGTTCAATATCAATCTGCCTAATGCTACTCTTATCACAATCCTCTCTCTGATTATTTTTGTTTTTTTCTTTAATATTTATTTCTTTAATTTTTCCTATTTTAATATTTTCATTAGATTTAAGATTATTTTTACTTTTTCTATATATTATTTCATTCTCTACCTCTCTTTTCTTTTTTAACTGATCATTTGGTTTTATGTTTTTGTTAAATTTATTCTTTCTCTCATTCATTTTTTATTAAATTTTTTATTCCAATAAATGGAAGTTTTTTTTTTTTTTTTTTTATTCCCTAAAAAAGTAATAGTAAATTCGCTAGTGATATTTTTTCTTTTATTATAGTATATAGTAACTTTTTAAAGAAAAATATATTTGTTGGTAAAATATTTAAAAATCAACATCATTTTATTAAAATAAATTGTATACAAATATTCATATAATATTCTAATTTATTAAAAAGATGAACAAATAAAAAAAAAAAAATTAAATTTTTAAATATTTATAAAAAAATATATATATTCTCTGAAAGAAAATTATTTTCATATAAATTTTTTCAAGGAAAAAAAAAATTATGATTATGTTTATTGAAAGTATAAATTCTTTTAAAAAAAAAACATCTACATATATATTGAAATGAAAAAAAAAGTCAATATTTATGTGAATATTTATATTAACATTTATTTGAAATAAAAAATGTATAAGTTATTAAAAAAAAAAATTTAATAAAAAAATGTAATACATTTATTTATTTATAACAAATGCATTATCCTTTATATAAAGAAAAAAAAAAAAAAAAAAAAAGGAAAGAAAAGAAAAGAAAACAAAACAAAACAATGAATTGTAAAACTTTAAAAATGTGAATACAGTATCAAAAGAAATTTTAGTTGTTAATTTAAAATTTATACCTTTTAATGGTTTTATTTTTTCAAATTATTTATTTTATTTTATATCTTTTATAGTTACAATTTTTTTTTTATTTTGTTTTTATGTTTTTAAGAAAACTATACAAAAAGGAAAACGTAAAAATGATAGAACACAACGATGCTGTAGATAAACATAAAGTTTTTGTTTATAATATAAAAGGAAATGATTTACCTTTATTAAAAAAAGAATTTGAAAATATATGTAATAAGCATTTTTTTTTTTCAAATAAAAATTTAAAAAGCGCAATATGTCATTTTAAAAGCGAAAAGGAAGCAGAAGATTTTATTTCGAAATATAATGGTTTAAAGGTTTACAACAGTGATATAAAATGTGAATTTGCATTAAAAAAAAAATGTGAACATAAAAAGTTAGTTTCTATTATATATAATCGTCAAAAAATAAAGTATTCTAATTCTATTCAAATATTCACTGATTATAATTTGGACTGTATTCAAATATTAAGTTTTTTGAAGAGTATTTTTTTAAAGAATAAATTATTTATACTAAGCTTTTTAGATGATGTAAAAAATGAAATGAATGATGAAAAGAAAAATTCTAATGAAAATGAAGATTCTGAAAATAGTATTGAAATTGTGGTAGACAAAAAACTTAAAAATTTTGAAGACATAATTATAAATATTAAGAAGGAAAATAAAAATAATAATATAACAAAAAAAAAAGAATTAAAAAGTCAGTTAATAAATAATAAAAATATAAATAACTATTTTGTTTATACAATTGAGTTTATAACTTTAAAATTAGCTTCTTGTTTTTTTAAAATTATCAATAAAAATGTTTTCGAAAATTACTTAAAAGAAAAATCGTTTGTTTTAAAAAATAATTTTTTATTTTATCACGAATTATGTTTTTTAAAAAGAAATGATAAAAAAGTTATTTTAAAAAATTTAAGTCGAACTTGCCATATAGAAAATATTAAAAAATTATTTAAAAATATTGACAAAAATATTAAGATATTTTTTCCAAAAAAAGACAATAAAAAGCAAGGTTGTGCATTTGTATACTTTTCAAATAAAAAAAATGTCCAGAAAGCCTTACTTTTAAGTAATTCAAAATTATGTGGAAATATAATCAGCATTGAAAGAGTTAATAACAACTTGGACTTTTTAAATAATTTTGATGATAATAAAGAAAATAAAAATTTAATTACGAAAGAAGATAAAATGAAGAACAATGAAAAGCATTTTAATGAAGATAATAAAAATGAAAATGACGAAAACGAAAATGAAAGTGAAGATGACGAAAATGAAATAGAAGATTTCGAAAATGAAATAGAAGATGAAAATAAGGAAAACGAAGATGATGATATGGGAAGTGAAGATGACGATAAGGAAAATGAAGATGACGAAAATGAAATAGAAGATGACGATAAGAAAAATGAAGAACATAATAACATAAATGAATATAACGGTAATGAAAATGATATCGAAGAGGATATAAAATATTCGGACAAAAATACAAGAAGACATATGAATGATGTTGATGAAGGAAAAACATTATTTATAACGAACATTCCTACAGATACAACTAGTGAAGAAATTAAAAGTTATATAGAAAATAATATAAGCAATAATTATATATATATTAAAACGTGTAGAAATAATAATAAAAGAATATCTGTATTTGTAAAATTAAAATATAAAAAGGATGCAGATCAATTTTTAAGAAAAATTGGAGAACTTGAAGAAGAAGAAAAAGAAAGTGATATAGAGGAAAACGTAATTGAAAAATTTTATAAAATGGAAAAAAGAAAGAAAAAAGAAAAAATGAAAAAAATATTACTTAAAGATAGTTGTAAAAATGTAAATTCGGAATTTTTATTTTTCAAAAATAATTATTTAATGATTAAAAGAGCTGTTAGAAAAGATTTAATAAAAGATAAAAAGAAATTTACTATGGATAAAAAAAAGGATAAAAATAAAATGGATAATAATATTCATTTAATATATGACAATAATGTAAATAATGAGAATTTAAGTGAAAACATAGTTAAAAGAAATAAAAAACTAATGGAAAAAAAAAAGGAACTTTTGAAAAATAGAAATTTTTTAATTAATCCATGTAGAATATATATTAGAAATTATCCAGCAATGTTAGAACAAAACACATTTCGTCAACTTATAACAAAATATTTTACACCTATACTTATGAAAAAATATAATATAAAAAAAAAAGAAGCATTTAAAAAATCAAATGAAATAATTAAAAAAATGAAAGTAGTTAAAGAAAATGTAAATAAAGATAAAAATATAGAAATTGAAAAAACAAAGAATAATAAAAATATTATATGCTTTATAGATATTAATAAACATGAGAATGCAAAAATGTTAATTAATTTTTTACAAAATAAGAATATATACGAATTAATTAATGAAGTAATTTACAAAAAAAAATTTCAAACAATTAGAAAAAATAAAAATATTATTTATGTGGATTACTGCATAGAGGATGTAAGAATGCTACATATAAAAAAGTTAAAAACTGAAAAGTTCTTAAATCATTTAAAAGAAAAAAATATAAATATAAATACAAAAAAAACCATAAAAAAAAAAAAAAAAAAAACAAGTAGAGGAAGAAGACAAAGAGAAAAAAGAAGATTATTAAAATTGCAGGCAAATAAAACAAATATTTCTAATGTAATTCAGAATAAATTTGTAAACGAAAAAACACAACAAAAATTCTCAAATAAAATAAATAATAATAGTAATAATAAAAATGAACTAAATAATAAGAGAAAATTTAATTCATTAGAAAAGAATAATAACGAAAAAAATAATTCATATAAAATAGCGAATAACCAAAAAAAAATTACACCAAAAAAAGATGATAATATGAAGAAATTAAAAGTAAAAAAAAGGAGTAAACAAACAGACACTAAAAAAAATAATAATGAAATGGTAATAAAAAAAAAAAAAATATATGAAATTAAGTATAACAAAAAAGATATACATATATATATATATATATTAATATAGAAATAGTAATATATATGTATTTATATATATGTTTTTTTTTTCTTTTTTTTTTTTTTTTAGAAATCGATAAAGAAGGATGTTTTAAAGTTTCTTAAAAATTTAAGAAAATAAAAATTTTATTATTTTTCCTTAATATTGTTTTTTAATTTCTGAGAATTTGTTTTTGCTTTTTTAATTAAATCTAAAAATTTCCTTGTAATTAAAACACTTCCTACCTATTAAATTCAAGCATAAAAAAAAAAAAATAAAATACTTAATATTTTTAATTTTTTTTTTTTTTTTTTTTTTTTTTAATTACATATTTCAAAACATGTTTTTTGTATTTCTTCAATAGCTTCTTTAAATATGTTAATTTTTTTTCTTCTTTGAATTGATTTATATTTAACTTAAAATTCTGAATTAAAAGTAAAAAGACAAAATTGTGAAATAATAATTTTTCTATATAATTATTAACCAAAATTATAAAAAAAAAAAAAAAAAAAGAAAAGACAAAACATAGAGAATTTAAATAATTAAAAAACTCAAGAAAATATGCATAATACCATTTCATGTAGTCCATATATAGTTGCTTTTACTAGTATAGAAGAAATTTCTAAAAAATGTATATAAAAATATTTAGAAAATTTCTTTTTTTTTTTTTTCCTTTTTTTTTTTTCTTTTTGCTTCCTTAATATAAAACGTTTTAAAAGACAAAGATCGTTCATAGTACATTTGTCTATATTCAAATTTATGTTACATATGCTCAAATTTAGTTTTTCAATAATCTATGAAAAGAAAAAAAGAAAAATATTATATAAATTTGTTATTTTAATTTTTAAAATTATTCTTTTTAGAAATTTTTACATTCCAATTTTGAGAAAAAAAAATTTTAAAAAATTTTAATTTTAATGATAGAAAATTTTTACACAAATTCATATCATTTTCTTGATTAAATGAGAAGTTAGAAGTTTTTTTGATATCTAATTTTTCATAAAAACTTAAAATCCAATTAGGTATTATACTATCATCATTTTTGTCACTAGAGATTATTAATGAATGTTTCAAATTTTTAATTTTTTCTAGTGAGAAATCATTTATATTTAATTCAAGGATATACTTACTTTTTTTTTTTAATAAAAAATACATGTGATATAAAGATATAATATAATTTGTGTAATCTCTTTTTATAAATTCAATAATAATTTTATCCATTACAAAGTGAAAATAATAAAAATTCTTAAATTCATTAATATTTATGTTACTATTAAAATTATTTTGAACAAAAATAGAGTAAATATAATTATGTACTGAAGATAATGTAACATTTTTATTAACATTTTTGCAATTAGTTTTTTCTATTTGTTCACTTTTTTTTAAGGAGAAATGTATGATTTTTTTACTTAAATAATAGAAATAATCTAACACCTTTTTATTAAATAATATAATTGTAAAATCAAAGTATAAAAATATATTTGTTATATTTTTATTTAAATTGGACAAACATTTATTATCATTTTTTATAACAATGTTAAACCCTTTTGTGTATAAAAAGGGAGATAATATATCATATTTATTAGGCAAACAAAAAAACAATTTCATTTTTTTTTTTATTTCGTTTATTTCATCGAATGATTTGTTTATGCCTAAACGAGATCTATTATTGCTATTTACAAACTCATTATGAATTTCATTACTTTCTACTATCTCACATTCATTATTTTTATAATAATATTCATTGCTATAGTATTTTTTCTCGTCTAATTTTGAATATGAACTTTTATTAAAATCTTCTTCAAAATTTTTACCGTAAAATTGTTTTATTTTTTTACCTGTACTATCTTCCGAATTTTTATGTTTCCTTTTTTTTTTGTTTTTTTTTTTCTTTTTTTCTTTTTTTTGTTTATGTTTTTGTTTTTCATACAAATTTTGAAGTAGTAATTCGTTACTATATTCACTTTCTCTCAAACTATTTTTATTTCTTCTTATTATGAAGGAAAATTTATCCCTTGTAACGCTTTTTTCTTCTTTATTATATTTATTTATATTAAATATATGAATTGAACTTATATAATACGATGAGATATTTTTAAAAAATATAGAAATTTTTTTTTCTCCTATATCATTATTATTTTTAATAATAATTTTATAAAAAAAAAGTAAAAGTTGATCTTCACAACTATCGAAAGTTAGTGATATATTTTTACAAGCGTTATAATACTTTTCTGCGTATGAACAATTATATGCTCTTTGATAAAACAAAAAATAAAATGGATGATAAAAAAATTTATTATAGCAATAAAACGGATTACAGGTTTCACTTTTTAAATTCTTTAGAATTTTCATATATAAGAAAATATTATTTTTTCCATTGGATAAAGGTTTTTCATTATTTTCAACAGATTCTATTTTTTCTTTTTTTTTTTTAATCTTCTTTTTTAAAAACTGCATTTTTTTTTCAAATATATAGTTAGAAATTTTATTTTTGTTTTCCTCATTATTACCTATACGTATATAATTAATTTCCTCTATTTTTTTTTTCTCATTTTTTTCATTTATAAAAATGTCTTCCAGAAAGAATTTTTTTTTTTTTTTTTTATTAAAGCTTTTCTTTTTTCTATTTTTAATTTCAACTATTTTATAAATATTTATTTCAAAATTGTTTATATAAAATACAGACTGTTTTACTATATTACTGTGGGTGTAGTTATGTCTAACATACTTTAAATTATGTTCATTAAAAATAAAAGTATTATTAATTTTACTAAAAAAAATTTTTAATATTTCTATTATTTTGTCATTAATATACATTTTTACATTATTAAATGAGAAAAATTTTTTTTTTTCCTTTTTTATTAAAATGTCTATATTATATATATGCAAAATTTTAAAAACATTTTCTTCAACCATGCAATATTCTGGTAAAATATGTTTATATATATTCAAAAAAATCTAAAAAGAAATAAAAAAAAAAAAAAAAAAGAAATATATAAAACATAAATATAAGAATATCTATGAATTTACTAGTATGTATTTTATATTTGTAAAATTTTAATTACTGAAGGTAGAAAATTCCTAATGTCGTTTGCAAAAATAAAATTTTCTTTTATTTTATTAATATTAGTTATAACGTGTTCAAAAGATAGTAGGAAATTTTCAAAAAACATAAAATAAATTATATGATCATAACTATTACTTCTTTTTTCTTCATTAATTTTATTTATTTCATAATTGTTTACTAAAATATTTTTCAAATATAATCTAAGAATATAAAATTTTAAATGAAGATTTGTTATATTTAACTTAAATTTAATATTTAACTTATTATTATTTTTAATTTTTAGCTCATTTTTTTTAATTATTATATTATCAAAGTTTTTATTTAAAATATTGTCTCTTTCATTATAATTGGTATTATAAAGTAAATTTTCTAATTTAAAATATAGTTCATTAAGGAAGGAATTCAAATTTTTAATTAAATTAAAAAAAAACAAAATTTGATAAGGTAAAATATTGCAATTAATTAAGGATTCATTTTTTGCACTACCTACTACATATGCATTTATAAATATTGTTCTTTCGTTATATTTTATTTCCTTTTCTTTTCCCACCTCTTCTTCTTTCTGCTCTCCACTTATTTTTCTTTCTATTTTTTTATTATACTCATTTTTATAAAAAATAATATATTTAGAATTTTTATGTGAATTATTATTTAAATTATCAACTTCTACATTTATAAAGGATTTCAATAGCGTAATAATTTTAATATTTATTAAATTTATATATAGTAATTCATTTAATTTGTTTTTTTTACATTGAATTATACTATTAATATTATCTTTAATTTTTAATTTTTTAAAAATCTTTTTAAAAATATACATATTTTCTTTATATATTAGGTCTAAATTTAAATTGTCATTCATATTCGTAAAAAATCCATAAGACAATAAAAAATGATGAATTAATGAATTAACAGATATATCTTTTTTCTTATGTAAAGAAATAAAAAAACTTTTATAAGATAACGTAAAGGCACATATATATTCGAAAAAAAAATGAGTTTCTAAAAAAGTGTTTTCAATTCGAATTTTAAAATTTTTACATAAAACATAAAATATGCTATGAAGAATTTTTTTGTGTTCACTTATCATATTATTGTTTGTTTTAATTATTTTATTCCCATATTTCTTATAATATTGTAATTTGTCATATATATATCGAGCAACATTTTGATTGTCTTGATTAGTTAGAATAATCTTCGTTTTATTTAAAGATAATTTAATATTTGAAATTTTTTTCTGCATTTTTTTTTTTATAATAACATTTAAACTTTCATTAAATAAACAGAATATAATATATTTGTAAAAGTGTATTATCAAATAATTTAGAAGAAAAAAAGAATAATCATTTTTTCTTTTTATATATTCAAATAAAAATAATAAGTTGGTTAATTTAAATTCTATAAACTTTTTAAAAAAAAAAAAAAAGTAATTTCTTATTATAATATTTAAATCTTTTTCATGGGATATTTCTATTCTCTCTAATACTAATAATAACTTTATAAATGCGATTTTTTTTTTCTTTTTATTTTTTTTATTTAAATACATTGTTTTTGTTATTTTCTTTAAGAAACTATGATTTTCTTTGTTACTGTTATATATTGTACTTATATTGTTCATACATTCTGTATGAATTAAGTTATTATTCATGTAATATATTTTATTAATTATTCTTGTTTCGTTAAAGTAACAATTATTATTTCCATATTTATACTGTAAAGATAAATTATTTAAATATTTATTTTTTATCTGATAATTTTTAATAGGTATATTTTTATTAATTGTTTTATTTCTATAATTATATTTTGTATCACTTTTTATCTTATTATCTTCTAATTCTAAATAGTCTACATAATTTTTGGAATCTTTTTTTTTCTGGTAAATTTTCTTTTCTTTTCTATATGTTAATAAATCACATTCACTAAATGTAAATGTATTTTTTGTAAAAATATTATGCTTATCTTTATATTTTTTCTTATATTTTAAAAAATTATTTGTTTCAAATAATGACGATGTGCTATTCAAATTATTTTTTTTTCTACATAATGAAGTGTATTCATTTTTATCTAAGTATATTTTCTTATATAATAATAAGTAATTTAATTCATACTTACTTTTATAATTATCATTATTTTCACAATTTTTTTCATGTTTCTTAATTTCTGTTTTCATACTGTTACAATATATGCAATGTTTTAAAATGGAAAATTTTAAGTGCTCATTTATAATTTCTTCATCACTTACTATTTTGTAATTTTTATAAATTTTATTTTTATATATATTAACATCACTTATATATTTTTTTTTTTCGTTTTTTTTTTTAAGAGCTTTTATTATTTCTACAACTTCAATATTTGAAAATTTTAAATTAAATCTTTTATTTCTGCTAATAAATAAAAAAAAAATAATAATAATTAAAAAAAAAAAAAATCATAATATAATATTAGGTGATATAAAAATAACTAGTTAACATTTCATTTTAAAATTTTATATATATTTTTTTTTTTCTTTTTTTTTTTTTGTTAACCTTGTTCTGTGAAAATCTTTTTTGTTACATTTAGAAGATAACTCATTGTCTTTATGAAATTTTATTTTACATTTATGTATTATAAATTTAAAGAAGTTTATTATTTTATCTATATCAACAAAAAATTCTACAAAGTACTTATCAAAACATAAATAGCAACTTAAATTTTGTAATAATATAAAAATATAATTACTGTCTTTTTTAATATCTGAAATATCTATATAATAACATGATATTTTTAAATTTTTACTAAAAATTATATTATTCTTTAGAACAAAATTCATGTATTTTTTTAATATTATTATTTTGATATTATTTGAAAAAACCTAAATAGTATTTAAAAATATATATTTATATATATATATATATATATTATTAGTAATAAATTAAAATATATATGAATAGATTACTTTCAATTTATTCGTTTCTGCCTTTATGGCAGAAAAAGTCAAAAAAAAATTTCTTTCATTATGTTTATTTTTGCCAAAATATCTCTATAAAGAAAATTATACAAATTAAAAATTGAAATAAAAGATCAAAAAAATTAGATTTCTATGTTTTATATTTTTAAATATAAAACATAAAAAATGTTTTTATTATGAATCTTTTTTTTTATATTTTTATTATCAATCTATTTTTTTTATATTTTTTTTATCAATCTTTTTTTTTATATTTTTTTATGATATATTTTCTTCCTTAAATATTTAATTATTTACTTGAAGCAGATTAGAATTGTTAATGTAATCTAGAAATTCTAATATATATTTAACTACTCTAATAGTTAATAATGCAGTTGGAGAAAAGTAAAAAAACATATTATCAATTTCAAAAAAAAAATCTTTAAATAATTTTGTTATTTTTAAATGATTAACGTGAATAAATGGTCTTTGACTAAAATATAATACTTTAATATTTTGCAAAAAAAAAAGGAGAAGATTTTTTTTTGAATAGATATTTAAAGAACTTGAAACTAATTCAAAAGATTTTACATATTTTTTATTTAAAAAATTATAAAATTTTATATCATTATTTTCTTTGTAATAAAATTTACAAAAAATTTTGCTTATAAATAACCTACATATAAGCTTTCTTTTCCTTATTAGATTTCTTATATTTTCATATTCTTCAATTTCTTTATTATCATTTAAATCCATTTTAAATATTTTTCTTTTATAATAACTATTGATATTATAATTACATGAATATATTATTTTATTAAAATTCTCTATTTCTCCAAAAGGGTTATCTTTTAAATGAATATTATCTAATAAATATAAATAAAAATTCTCTTTTTTATTTTTTTTTACATTAAAAATATCAACTAACTTTTTCATATATTTTAAAAAAATTAAAGGATATATGGAATACACATTTAAATATACTTTATCAAAATTAATATATAATTTAAATCTTAATTTTTTCATATTATCTTCATCATTTTCAATTTTTTTATTTTTTTTATTAGTTAATTTCTTTCTTTCATCGATTAAACCCTTTTTTTTATTCTCCAATTTGATGTTCCTTAAATCGTCATAAATTAGGTAATCATTATGTCTTTTAATATTTTTATTATTAGAATTACCTTTTAATTTATCTTTTATATTTCTAAATCTATTTCTCCTAATAACTATGCTACTGTTGTTTTCTTTTTGATATGAATGTATGTTATTTTTTTTATAATTAATTTCTCTACTTTTTTTTTTCTCATCAAAACTTTTTATTTTTAGGAAAATAAGAGCATCACATATATTTGAAATAAAATATTCTTTATTTTCTATTGATAGTAAATATGAATTTTTTATTTTTGTAAAAGCTAATGATGATACTTTATTTTTTTCTATTGATATTTCTTCTAAGAAAAAGCACAAAAAATACCTTAGTTTCTCTTCTTTTATATAAATTTTCCATATTTGAACATATATGTTTATATTATGAAATAACTCTTTGAAATTAACACATATCAACTTATTTGATTTACTTTTTTTTAAATAAAATTTGCTTTTTGTTAATAAAAAACATAATTCAAATAATTTATTTAAATAAACATATGTTTTGAGAATAAAATGAATTTTAACATTTATAGTTTTCATAAAATAATTATAAAATATATACAAATTGCTGGATGAAATATCAAGAACTATGCAATTATTACAAAAAAATGAAAATTTACTTAAATCTAATAATAATGAGAAATTTTTTCTACGAAAATTTACGAATACATTGCTTAATTTTATCTGGAATAAAAAAGTAAAAAACATATCAGAATATTTTGTGCTCCTTACATCTGATATATGATTGAAATTCTTTTTATTATTATAATCTTTAGTAGACTTAAATGAAATTTCATTTATTTCTCTTTGACAAATTTTTTCATCGTTTATAGGAACAATTTTCTTAATAGAAAAATCAAACTCTTCAATATATATTTCTATTACATTTAATAAAAATAAAAAAAAATTTAGAAGGTAATTGCAACTTGTATCTTTTTCCTTCAAAATTGTTTTTTTTGTTTCATCATATGAGCAATTTACAAATAATTTAAAAATTTTTAATTGAAAACACCATTTTGAAAATTTTATTTTTACATCTTTCAAGTTTATTAATATTTTCTTTTTATATTCTATATCTATAACTATTTCTTTAATTGTAAAATATTTAATAGTTAAGCATAAGTAAATAATGCAATTATTTTTAACAAATTTTCTTTGTATTTTTAATGATCTCTTATATAATATAGTTAATACAGTCGAAAAAAAAAAAATTATAAAAAAAATTGCAAAGTATTTCATGGATATATAAAACATAATAATAATAGTATGTATATTTATTTTTTCTTTTTTGAAGTATTAATTACAAATATAAAATATCTTAATTCGTAAAAATTTTATTTATTTTTTTTTTTTTTAATATTAAAATTTTTTTTTTTTTTTTTATATATAAAATTTACATATTATGAATTATGTTAGTATAAACTATATAAACCAAATTCTACTGTTTTTTTTATTTTTTACATTTATTTCCTGACTTACTTTTTTTTTTTTTTTTTTTTTTTT